CATTTAATCATTATTCATCATCGGATGATCGTATCGAAAGCAGTATTAATTGAGTTTATTTTAAGCTATGAAATTAGTTTAAATATGAGGAACTATTTGATCAGCACATAAAGACCCACCGCTATATCTTCCATTTATCAAAGCAAATTTCCATAATTAATATTTACGTAGAGTTTTTCAGTGACATTGCCAAATCGTCGTCAATGTTGATTCACATGTAAACACGTGTCGTTAATAATAACACTGACGACGACACACCAAAACAGGGCATTTATCACAATTTGTCACTTCGGTAACAATAACAAAACCACGTATTATTTTAATTATTACATGCAAGTCGGATGTGTTCAAAAAAAAAAACAAAAAAAAATCTCTTACAAATCATTTACATCGACCTTCCATTTGAATATGGCAATTGTTTTATGAAGTTAGTCAACGTATTTTTTCGTTAAATGTTCTGTAAATGTTTTAGTGTCATTGCGAAATGATTCGTTCAAGTTTCCCATTTTGATACAGATTTCAATAGCACGACAAAAATATCAACACAAAATCGCTTTACCTTTAATTTGTCTCGTAGAAAAATGCGCTACACGTCATATTATTCAGTAAAATGTTTGTATTTACATTCTTTGTGTTCTATTACGATGACATAATTCGCTTTAAAGACACATTCATACCACAAGGATTCCATTGATTTATATCAATTAATGTAAATATCGAAGAGAAATGATGCGTAAAAACTATTTAGATTAAAAAAACAACATTCGGTTGGCATAATAATGAGACCAAGAAAATGTGGTGTAATCAAATTCCAAATAAATTTAGTGTGTACGCATACACATTACGTTCAGTACATCGGTTATCGACCTTTTGGAATGAATTGAAAATTCGGCTGCGTGCTAAGAAGAATGAATTTGTAGAACGATGCGCTTCGTAAACATTCAAACACAATCTAGTTATAGTTAATGTGTTTCGGGCTGAAAAGAGAAAACAGTTTTTTATTCTTTTTGTTTCGTTCCTTTGCCTCCAAAACATTGTTTTTTATTTTATATATTTTCACTTGTTTTCTCACTGACACACATTTCGATTGCGAGCCCCATAAACAGACAAAAGATAATATTGATGATTTTCTCATCATAAAATGTGAACTTCAAACTTTTTCTGTCTTAGCGGCCCGATTTTCAATCACGAGTGTTTTTTCTTCTCTCTCTCTTCTCATTTTGCTCAAGCTCATCATTATTGGTGTTGTTGTTTTTTTTTTACATCGAATCGTGTGTGTTTTTCATTGCATTTTGCGTTAAACTGTGAATCGTTTCAGCACATTCTAACATAGATGCACTTTTTCGCTTTTAATTGAATGTGCTATTTTTTCGAAGTTTTTCAATTAACATCTTGCGTTAGACGAAGTGTGTGAGTGCGCGCACATGTTAAATGTTTATTGCGTTTGTAAAGCGGCGTGAAGTAAATTAAAAACCTAATAAATTTGAGACAAGCATACAAAACAAGTCAAAATTGTGTATTATCGAATTCGATTGAAGTCTCTGTGTCTTACATACAAAATTGCTTTGAAGCAATATCGATATACACTTACATATAATTGTTTTTTTTTTCTGTTTGTTTTCAATACGCATTGGAATTTATCTGAAACCAGATTCCGAACGAAATGCTCCAAGTCACATTGTAATATTCCCCGGGTGGATAATGTTCGTTCTCATTTGGATATGGTGTTCTGTTATTCACTTTAATCACCAAAATATGATTTGAATTTGAAAAACAAAAAATAATAAATGAAGTCAATTCATGAACCATTTGATATTAATTATACACGCAGACAGTCTTCAATCAAACGAATGATGTGTATATTAACCTTGATTCAAATTTTATTTTATAATTCGGATTTAGTACGAATTTATTTTTGGACACCACGTCGTATACGCGGCTTTTGTTTATAATTTTTACATTGTACTTGCAATTAAGTGTGCATGTAATGATTTAATATTTCGATTCTAAGTAAAACAGCATGTATTAATATCAAACCGTTGTCGTCACCGCGACTTAGAAATCGAAATTGCTCAACTGCGTCAAATGTCGAAGCGAACGTTTCTTTCGTCTTTGCCAAAGTAATGATTGCTATATTAGCCTTAAAATCCAAGTTCACATACACATCATATTCAAAAACTGTTCAATGTCAAATGGGCTGATGTCAATTTTGCACAGTAGAGGAAGAATTAACTTGTTTTTATTGTGAACATATAAATTTTAAATGACATTTTATTGTATGGCCGCCTATTTCATACATGGAGCTAACATTCAAAATTGTTTGCGCCAGTCGGTCACATAATACATAATAAAACATTTCTCCTTGCCGCATAAGTACGCGGCGAATGAAAAAAAGGAAGACAAATTCCGTGCATTTCTTGTTATTATTAAGCTGTTATTTAACGGAGTCCGAGTTCAATTATGTTAGAATATTTTCATGCGAACTCAAAGCATAATAGAAGCGAAACGTATGTGTTGACCTATTTGTTGGTGGCGATGTATGCGACTATATGGCTCTATGCAACACAAAATAATTAAATGCAATTGGAATTTTATTACTTGGGGAAAAATGGAAATACAATGAAGCGTACGGCTTAAACGTATGCACCAATCTAACATTTCATATTATTGTTATTCAACAAGCAAATGTTAGAGTTCAATAAACGCATTTGAAAAACTAAAACAAATGAACAGCAAAAGAAAAACACTGCTTTACGCCTTCTATCAGCAACAATCAACATTTCTTCCGTACGCTTTGTTTGTTCGTGCTGGAATGGTCGTATTTCAAAATAAATACCAAACTTTTCGCGTCGCCTAAAAATCACTTTCACAAAAAAACTGCCACATAAACTGAGGAGCGTGTGAGCGTGTGTAAATATGCAGTCTCACACACACACACAGTTTATTATTGCACATTTTCTGCAAATGATCGATTGTTTGAAGTGAAAAAAACTGGCCAGATAGTTTTTGCAAGAAAGTCACAATTTGATTGATTTATTTGTCTAAATAAAAGTCATATTATCATCAATGTTATTCAAACTGTGCGCATAGTTTTGTTTCGCTCCTGATATGCGTGTATGCACAATCCTTGCGATCGATCCGCGATGAGTATGCAAACGAGACACGTGATCATAACGGCAATTTGCTGCCTCGTTAAAAATAAATGGTTTCCATGTGTGTTGGCATTGTGCATGGCGTATGAATACTTAAAAAAAAAACATAAGTGCGTTGTGCTCATCATCGCTTTGAGCGCAAAGCATTGAATTACGTAATTGATTACGAAACACATTAAATAGATGGAATTTACTACTTTTTTCTCTCTTTAACTCGTTTTCTTTTTATCGAGTTCTATCTCTCTCGGTGCTGGCATTGTGCCAGACTCTGGCCAAAGGTTATTCCATTCCGATATATAGCCAAGTATTTATTAAAGAATCACTGACTACGAACGGAAAATAGAAACAAAAAGAAATGCTCCCCAATAGATTCCTTTGTAGAATGGACACGACTCAATTTATTGTATAAAAATTGGAACTCACGGTGTGTGTGTGTGTGCCATATCCAATAAAAATTTGACTAATTCTCATTAGAATTTTTATATGTGCGCTCGCGCCTGCTGTTTTCGACCAATGGCGTACGGGAGTGGATTTTTCCATTAAAGTGATTTCCATAAATCATTCAATATTCATACGATTAAGATTCGATTCGATATATAATCAATTCAATGAAATTCCTAATTACGAAAATTTACAAAGAATTTTTCCACAATTCAAGGCTATTGGTTAGTTAGAATGATATTGTTCTTTTTTTTTAACAATCTTAGCGCATTCCGTTTACAATACACAAAAAAATACCGAACTGATAGTTCAAGGTTGAGTGTACGTTTGATAAACGTTTGAATAAAAAAAATTCTAATCATCATTAGATGGAATCGATACAATTCGAAATCAGAATAGTTCGAAGCAATGTCATCATGGTGACAGTATGAAAGTTTCTTTGTTATTTCTCAAGGTTAAAAAACATGTCCAATTAGAATCTGTGACCAAACGGACACTCACTTCTTCGGTAATAATGAAAAATTGATGTGCCATCAACGTCGATATGACAAAAGATTAAAACAAACACACTGTAGTGACTGAAAATAACACAAGCACGTGTTAAATTTGATATATAGTCACCCTCTAAGCCATTACCACTAAAAAAAACACGTAAAAATAAACAATTTCATTATTATAGACAAATTGAGTATGTATATTGGGAATTCATTAGTCCGTGTTATAAAGGAGACCAATAAACCTTTTTTTGAATCCGTTAAAAACACACTGCTTCACATGTGTTATTAACACTTGATTAGATTGTAAATTAAGTGAGAGTATAACAATCTCCCATAAATTCTACAAACGATTCAGGTCACGATAATGTCGTTCGTTACTTAGTTTTCGATCGATCTTTATGGAATCACATAAGCACGTCGCAAGTTATAACAAAGTATGATATATTTTCTGTTCTGTGGTCTGAGGTGTGTGCTTGGAAAAAAAGGAGGTTGTATGTCATAAATAATGTCCGATGTGCTTGTCGATGATCTGAAAAAAAAATTCCATTTGCATTAAATGCGATTTACTTTCTTCCACAAAACAATCGTCATTCTCACATACTAAACTCATTTTATACCACAACAAAAAAAAATCGTTTGATTTTATTTCGAAAATGAAAAGATTAGTTATTGCACTTACGTTCAAGGCACCAACATTAAATGGAAAATTGACAAGGTCGCATTTTATTACATCTATGAATCAGAACTTTTTATATTGTGGCAGGATACATAAAGTTTTTGTTAGTTTTGGTTAGTTCTGGATTTTGTAAACAATTTCTTCAGGCATTTAGGTTAAGCGCATAAAAGAAATCGTTGTCGGGCATAAACAAAAATGTAACTAATAACATGATTTTTATTCAATTTTTTTTAGCCTCCGCCATTAAATGTTGGAGATGCTCATCGGATGCATCAAACGCAGCATTCTGTAATGACCCATTTGACGCAAGCATCATTAGTGATCAACAAAGACGATGGAGCTATGTTGAATGCACATATCCACCAGGTCAATTGAATCCATACAGCCAATCGACAAACCAAAGAGCCGTTTGCAAAAAGGTCAAACAACTCGGTAAGTTTGCATTTTGTTTTCATTCTGATTTCGTATCAATCAATAACAAACAAATAAACAAAAGTCTCACAAATGTATTTAAATTAAATGAAAACGGGATGTGTGATGTGTTTGCGATAGTCAGACATTTAAATAAAATCGTCATTCAATTTGAAACGTTTTACAACTAATATACATATGAATCGTTGCGACGAAAACATAGCTCTTATTTTTTCTCCAAATAAAACTGCAATGAAGTTTTTTCACACATATTCCTGTTTTTTAAAACTTTATATTATTTGGAGAAAAATAAGATCTATTTTTTCGAGCGCAACAATTCATATATATATATTGAAGATTTTACTTTCATTTACAATGGCATTTATCGGTTTGGCCAAGTCATTCACACTTGTGTCCAATTTTTTCTTTGTAGACATGTCCAAATAGAGTGACAATGTGTTATTAAATCATTTGTGTATTTATTTGTTCGTTGTCCTTTTTCAAGCGACATAAAGTTAGTGGGTAAATAAAGAATCGTGATTAAAATCATCGAAAATATTCACAACAACGGACGGTGCCGACACATATTTCAAAGTACACAGTTCCGTTTATAGTATTACATGTGGACCTTTTCAAGCGTCTAATTACCATTTGTTGCCAACTACGATTTTCTTAATCACACATTGTGTACAATATTGGACACATTTGGCCCGAAGATATTCGATTTTCATGTCAATGAACCGAACCGAACTGAATCGACTGATTTATCAAAGAGAAAGTTTTACCGTTCTCTTTCTATCCGTAACCGGAAGAAAATGTGACCTTTCATGAATTTATCCAAATTGAATTTGCATTGTATATCATTTAAAAATCTTATTCGCATCGGTACAAGCTCATGCCAAGTCCAATCACGATTAAAAAAATTTTTTTTTTCAAATGTTCAGCATTATTTATCATATAGATTGCGTGATTTTGTTTCCTGCTAACTAAATGTAAGATGGTAATCGGTAGAATTTTTCATTGGAATTTTCTTCGCTTCATTATCGTTTTGCAGTGCCGGCAAACGATATTATTCTCAAGAACGAAAATAAAAACCGCTGCATGTTGTGACATCAAACAGATCTTATTACTTCGGTTGAAAAAGTGGGAAAGATCTTGACTTTGACTGTGTTTATTGTTTTGCAAAACTAGCCGCACGTACGTATATATTAAAATATAAATGTGACGTGGTACATGAACAAAAACACATTTATTTTGAACTCTGTATTTCTTTGTTCTATCTCTTTTTGTTTCAAACCGGTTTATATTTGTTTTATATAGTTTGAGTCATTTTGGCCAAAGACCGATTTTACGCTGGGTGTGATGTCAGACCTATTTCGACTCTGACTATCAATAGAAAACACATTGAAATTCCTACGCACATATTTTCGAACTAATCAAAATCATCAAGACTGTATAGCAAAGACCCGAAGACAGTATTCAATTATAATAAAACAATTTTATTTATTTATTTGAATTCTTGTTTGGCACGAGCGTTACAAGCGAACTAACAAAACAGTTGTGCTCTTGTTCTTATGTCATCTATCTCGACAAGTAGCGACTTGCTCGACTGTCTGTTCACCATATATATATATATAATCGGCTTAAAGATTATTGTTTTCGACTGAATTAATATAAATTAACGGCTGTTACGATTGGGTTTGTCTTGGCGAAATGTTGTTTGGTGATAAAGCCGAGCATGTTTCGTCATTTAATTTTCGAAATGAAATAACACAACGAAATCTATATTTTGTTAATCAATATTCGAGTCACATTGAAATGAACTTTTCCATAGCAAAATGTAAACCTATTAACCCGCCGGCCATTTCAAAAAGAATTTCGATGAAGACACGAAAAAACGCACATGTCGAAATGTTTCAAAGTCCAAGCGCGTTTTCAGCTTCTCAATTACCTGCCAGAGCCAATTTAATTTTTCTGGAAAAGAAAAATATCAATATTATGAACAATAGTTGGAACTTTCCCGAACTAATTACGATATTCATCTAATCAAAATTAATTAAAGTCATGGAATGTTTTTGTTTGTTTTACTGAAACGTTCCGTTATTGAAAAGCCAGGGTTTCGGTGCTGTGTTATCAGCATTCGTATATCGATGTATTTTATTTTGCTTGACTCATGAAAATTTGATGAATAAAACAAAAGTCAGAATCTAGCAACCAAATCGCATTGCATCACATTAAATTTAATTTTTTTTTGTGCAACTGTATTTTTTCCTACGCCATTGGGACTGTTCGATAATAAAAGGTTAATTGTTTGTTTGTTTTTCTTTACTACTACTAGTGAACGACAAGTACGTCATTTCTCGATCATGCTTCTGGGAGAATGTAAACGCACCGAAAGATGAGTGCATTAACAACAACACGCCGTCATACATCAAAACAGAATTCTGTGAGACCTGCTCAACTGATGGATGCAACGGTGCCGCCCAATACGGTCCAATTGCTCTGCTGGTCGCAATTCCAGTGGCTATTGCCAAGATTTTATTATTGTAAGCCCTGTCCATCACCCCCTGCTTTGTCTCACTATCTTAATTTTCTCTTCCGTTGCAAAAAATTCAAAACTTTTTTTGTTTTGTTAAGTTTCATGTTTGAGTTTTTTTTTTTAATATTGAATGAAAAATGATCCGGATCTATTTTTGTTTTCCAAATTTCTCTTGAATAAGATAAAAAATATAATGAATATTGAAAAAACGTACAACTGCAATTTAATTTATTACGAAAAGAAACAGAAATATTAAGAAAATGAAATCCTATATTTCAAATATAAAAAAATCAAAATCTAAATTAAATTCACACTACACATAAATCTCTAGCACATATTAAAACGCAGTTTTGAACTTAACTCTCTTTACATGTAATGTGTAGGAAAAAAGATATACCATAAATACCAATAAACATTTGATGAAACATGCTGTTTTCTTCGTAGCTTAAGTAAATATAAGATCTGTTTTTTTAGAAACACATTCAGAAATGCGCGAAATTAAGTCATTAATTAAGAATTCGAAAATTTCAAAATAATAGCGCAAACAATTTATTTCAAACTCTACATAGTCTGTCACAGAAAGAAATACAATGACGAAGGGAACAAACAGAGATAGAACTCACTTAAATAGTTACAAAATATCAGTACTTATGACCTTTCAAATTGGTTTTTTTTTCTATCAATTTCGACCCGTAAACGAACGTCTGCATTTTTCATTCAGTCTACATATATTCCAAGTGTTCTTCTGTAAGTTTTTTGGCACACAAATATTCAAGTTCATCAAAGTGCACTCTTCCTTTGGAGAATTTTTTTAGCTTTTGTAAGGCAGTTTGTCTTTGTCATGCATCACGCTTTTCCACAATAAAAAAATAATAATAATTAAATAACAAAAGAATATTTTTGCAATTTTACTATTTGTAGTGGTGTATTTATAAGTGAATATAAATGCATAATGGCTTAAATTATTGTGCTACTGTTTATCTTCAATTTGTCACATTCTATTCTTTTGCCGTCTTTTTCAAAATGAAAAAAACGCTTTAAAATAATCAGTTTTTGTTTGTTGAGTACAATCGACAATCGTTGTTTTCATTTTCTTATTCACTTCTAATTTCTTTCATTCTTATCGAACCAATTGAAGTGTGAACTAACCACCTCAGTGTGTTTTAGCCGAGGAATGCCTTATCAAGAAAAAAAAAAAACAAAACAAAAAAACACAATTGCAATTGCGTTAAAAAGTAAACAAAATAAATGATTTTTGCGTTTTCGAAACGACAGCATTTTTTGTGAAACAAAATTATAAATTTTAATCTCTTTTTTTACAAAAAAATTTACTACTGTATACGTACACTAACAAACAAGAACCTTCAATTTTAAATCATCTTTATTTGGAATCTTCAATCATCCACAAAAAATGAAATATTTTCAATTAATTCAAATTGATTGTTACCACACCACACCTACTGTACATAATACGTGTATATTGTAGATCATCTGAGCAAAAAATCAATACAAAATTCGTTCCGAATTAAAATAAATTACTTCTGTTTTTATTGACAACAATGTTTCATAGCTGTTTGTGCTGATGTATATAAATGAAATAGAATAAAAATAATAAAGAAAACTCACAAAAAAATGTTAATTGTTTTATTTATCATATTGAATCATCAGGTATTTTCATTTGTTTTTCAGTCTGCTTTTTGGTTGTAGATAATAGTAACCAAACGTTGAAATCTGTAAGTGATCTTGGTTCAGTCACGGGTTAATTGGTCAAATTATCAATTTGCCAGAGACTTCACACAGTTTCATGAGATTTCACAATTGGTATATACCTACGCCACAGACAAAACAGCAGCTCACAAATTTACATTAAAATACACAATTGCTGTTCACTAAATGCTGACAACGAGTTTTGATGTGAACGAGGGACATTGCTAATGTGTTCGGTAAGTATGTGGTATACAGGAAAGCTCAATTGATTAATTGTTCGCTTATTCTCAGTGGTCAAATGTGCATAATTTCACACTGTGATGGGAAAAAAGGCTCAACCAATTAGCAATATCGCGACCGTTTTTGCACAAATCTTGAACATTCTTTTTGTATTCATAGTTCGTGTTGATATAGACGTATATAAAATTAAAACGGATAGATACTCGATAATAATATTGTCGTTTTATTGTTTGCCAAAGCCGACAAACCTGTGGCAAAACAGATAAACACATGTCGTGGCTTGTGGGTATATCCGGTTCACAAACATTTGAAATGAGTTGATAATATTTGGTCACCAATATGACATGAAAATATTTAAACATCCATGACACATCCAAGAACCAATTCTTTCCTTTTTTCAACAAAATCTTTTTCTTTTTGAACATAGTTCGCAAAATATATTCCCCATTGATAACAAATCATTGATAAGTACCTGTTTACGTATTGAATCAGAGTTTGAAATAATGATTAGTTTTTTCAATTCATTTATTTGAAAATCAATTACCATTAGTTAATGTAAATTGAAATTTTCAATTCATTTTTTTCAATTCATTAAATTGAATTTTCAATTACCATTTACATTCAAATTGAGAAATGAATTGAAATTCATTTCAATTGCGTGAAGTTGCAGAGATTCTAGTTGGCTCCCATATCACTACTCTCGATTGTTTTCAATTTTTTACCGTCAATTCATTTATAATAACATTTTGAATGTAAATTAAAATGTATATATATTTAAAATTTAATATTAATATACAAATTAAAAAAATTAAAATTTGAAACTGTTTTCATTGCTGCGATTTCTTTTAAACTTATTGACACAGCAACGAGCAACCGTTATTGTTGAATGTGCGCATTCAAATATTAACCTCACTTTTGACATTAGCTATGCACAAATGCCGCATAAGACATCAATCTCTACAACTTCACGCAATTGAAATAAATTTCAATTCATTTATCAATTTGAATGTAAATGGTAATTGAAAATTCAATTCAATGAATTGAAAAAAATAAATTGAAAATTTCAATTTACATTAACTAATGGTAATTATAATTGAATGAATTGGCATTGAAAAATTCGAAACTCTGTATTGAATTGTGTTTATATTTAACACTTTTGATTATACTTTAACACTTATTCATAAGATAAGCGCTTGCCTTGGTAAACATCCGTAGAATGTTCAAACAGAATTATCGTGCAAATAAATAAATGATCGATTGAAATTCAGTTTTAATATAATCTTCAAAATCATCCGTTTTTCGCATGCCAATTATAATACAATTTATCTCCGCAAGTATAAACAATGTTTGCCAAATATAAACGCAATTCAACAATTTATTTTCGAGAATGATCTAACATGTTTCAGAGAGAAGCGAACTATTTTTTTGGGGGACAATGTAATTGAATTACAATATCATAAAATAATGCAATTGATAGTAGCAACAATAATTGATGCTATTGTAGAAGAAAACAATGCAATGTCACAATCAGCACTGTATTTAACTCCACAGGCTTTACGTAGTACATACTTCAGAATGACAAATATTTTAGTCATAATAATAAAGAACAATGCCAAAAAGTGAGCCATAACAAAACAACGTACGTTTAATTCACGATAGAAGGATTCACCCGAAAAATCAAATGATATAAATAAAATAATTATTTGATTTCATTTTTATTATTCCAATTATTTTGAATAATCAATAAAAAAAATTGTATTATCATCGATTTTAATATTTCTATTTAAATTTATTTAATTCTTATTTACGATCATGCATGCGATGCAAATGTGCCGTTTGAGAGTTAAACGCACTCTGTTCAGTTATGACAAATGTAGGGTTAGACAAAATGTCAGTCAAAAACTGCTGGCTCACTCGTTATATGAAAAATTGACATGGTTCTTCACCTCGACAGAGGTATGAAAACAAATTTTCCGACGAATAAATTATTATTTTTTTTCAGACAATAAATATATTTGCTATATTTTATAGAATAAGTGAAACAGATATGAGTAATCGTTTTTTTCTTTGTCAAATAAAAAGAATGCAAATAAACGTTGGTGTTGTCGTAAAATTTAAAAAGAGAACTCACGTAATTGCAGTTAAAAATTAATTTAATTAATTAATTTCTGCAGAATAATCGAGATTCCATTGATTTTTAACTCAAGTTAATCGAAGTAAACAACAAAAATATTTTCAAAGGAATATTGTCATTAAATTTTTTTTTGTTTCAATTCATATTCATTTCATTTTACATATACTTCATTCCGACTATTATTTTCAACAGTCAACAGTCTTTGAATACAGTTCCCTGAAACGAAAAAATTGAAGAAAAAAAATGAAAGTTGAAGTTGTTGGTTTGCTTTTATTTATCATTGTAACAAGTCGTTCCACGTTTGGCGTAAGTGAATCCATGCGTTCTAGAACATTTATTCTATTGTTTTGTTCATTTCAAATATCGTCTTAAATAAATTGTGTGGTTACTATTTGTTCTCGTGGATAAAAAGATAACGAGATAAAATGTTTGATATCTCAAACGATTACCATTCATATTCTTAAATATTTGTTTCAACACAGCAACTTAAGGACGAAAATATACACTTTGCGGTGATGGATTCCATGTTTTTGAAAGAAACGTTCGACACGGAAGTATCAAAAGCGTTGGAAAAATCAACCAATCTAGCGGCAGATCCGGCAATGAACTTCGATGTAAGCTTTGTGTCCGCTGTTTTAACCATTACAGATGAGTACTCGTTGAATGTAGTGGGTACCTTAGCTCCAGTTTTGTATGAGACGTTGAAGGAAGAATATGAAAACAAAGATGCATTGGGCAAAATTATCGAAAAATTCAAGATTCGAGACGATGTACGAACAGACCTATACAAAAAACACATCACCATTTCGAACATTATCGTCGGTATCAAAAGATTACACAAATATCCTGCCAGACTTTGTGTACAATTGGAAAGTGCAAATGGAGAGATGCTTGAAATTGTTTCGCAATTGTCGTCACGAAATTTAAATTACCATTTATTTCCATCAGTCACGAGCCAATTGATTTTAACGATGGCACCAATTGCATTTTTGGCAGCCAAAACAATGCCATATCTCGAAGGTAAAAACGAAATCAATTTTAATCTTAATGAAATAATTTTACTTTTTGAGGACTATAAGACATAAACGAATAGGAATGCGTTAGTTAATTAAAAACACTTTTTTGTCTTATAAATATTTATTGTCTTTTTACAGAACAATTGTTTCGACGCTCAATGCGTCATTATCAGCTGTAGAATTTTAACTCCAGAGTCGAGTCCAGGCAGAAAATTAAGTTTCCCAAAGTTTCACGACGATCGGATTAAAAATAAAAAATTTCAATATGACAAATTTTCGACAAATATCATTTTTTACTTACTTCTGTGAAAATGTGGAATTTGAGCTATGTTCATTTATCGACCAATTGTCATGAAATTTTGTCTAGATCATTTTTTTGGCATAAAATTAACTTTCCCAAAGTTTCACGACGATCGGATTGAAAATAAAAAATTTCAATATGACAAATTTTCGACAAACATAATTTTTTTCCTGATTTTTGTAGAAATGTTAAATTTGAGCTATGGTCATTTATCGACCAATTGTCATGAAATTTTGTCTAGATCATTTTTTTGGCAGAAAATTAACTTTCCCAAAGTTTCACGACGATCGGATTGAAAATAAAAAATTTCAATATGACAAATTTTCGACAAACATAATTTTTTTCCTGATTTTTGTAGAAATGTTAAATTTGAGCTATGGTCATTTATCGACCAATTGTCATGAAATTTTGTCTAGATCATTTTTTTGGCAGAAAATTAACTTTCCCAAAGTTTCAGGACGATCGGATTAAAAATAAAAATTTTCAATATGACAAAATTTTCGACAAATATCATTTTTTACTTACTTCTGTGAAAATGTGGAATTTGAGCTATGGTCATTTATAGACCAATTGTCATGAAATTTTGTCTAGATCATTTTTTTGGCAGAAAGTTAAGTTTCCCAAAGTTTCACGACGATCGGATTAAAAATAAAAAAATTCAATATGACAAATTATCGACAAACATAATTTTTTTCCTGATTCAGTTTTGTCCATGGCATATATCTGGTGTCCATGGACACACTGTTGTCCACGGGCAGATTCAATTTTGTTCATGTCATATCTCTATTGTCCATGAGCATAATGTTGCCCATGGGCAGACTTAGTTTTATCCATGGCATATATCTGGTGTCCATGGACACACTGTTGTCCACGGGCAGATTCAGTTTTGTTCATGTCATATCTCTATTGTCCATGGGTATAATGTTGCCCATGGGCAGATTCAGTTTTGTCCATGGCATATATCTGGTGTTTTATCTGTCCATGGGCATTTCCACTGCCCATGGTCCAACTTTGGTGAGATATACCCATGGACATGTGTCCATGGCTATTTATGACAAAAGTATTATGACAAAAGTGTTATGACAAAAACCACTAACCCGAAAATTTGATAAAACATGCAAAAAATTTCGCGGCACAAAAACAGGTGAAAAAAATATTAGCTCAAATGCGGAAAAAAAATTGACGAAATTCTTCGTAAAGAACTATAATTCAATTCTAATTCCTGATTCTTTGTTTTGTAGGAAAAGGCCGTTTTACCGTCAGCATAGAAGGAGTGTATTGGATAGGTTCTATGTGGTCCGCTTCTAAAAGTTTACAAGTTCGGGTTTTTTCGATTCTCCTCTTTTGCAGAGAACGGATGCGGTATTCACTTCAGAAATTATCATCGTTTTATCCAACAAATGGAACAAAATTAACAGTGTATATCACTCAGGATTAAAATTAAACGACACCGACTATATCACTATTGACATAATAGAAGACTCTGAAACGATAGTATTTCGAAGTCCAAAAATGACAATTTCAAATTTTGTGGAAGAAAGCCATTTCCAATACGATGTATTTTATGTCGCTTTCAATGCAATTTGGATTGCCGAACATTCCAACGATAACTATGACAAAATATTGACATCGAAAGGTGAAGAATCATCAAGAGATGTATTTGAACCGTGTTCCATTAACTCCAGCGCGGTCAACGAATATTTGAAGGATGCAAAACAATCCAATGATAACAATTTAATCTAACATTTGTATGAGAATTTTAAAAATCGCATTTTCAAGTACAAATAAAAGATTGATGAAAACGAAAACTGTAATTTGTTAATTTTCTGTTCATTCAGATATCAAAAACGTAACTACTTTGATACGGAAAGAACTAAACTTTATTCAATTGTAGCTGATTTTGAAAAGTTCTATCGAAATTCTGTATCTACCATTTGATTTTTTTTTTGTTGATTTTTTGATATTATTATGAATTCGTTAGTGCGAGGTGCTCGTTCCATCTATTACGGATCCCATTGTCGAAGCAGGTGCATGAACATACATATAAGACTGAAAATATAAATATATGAAATTGATTGAGAAAGAGACAGGGAGAACAATAACAACATATCCTCTCATTGATTCAACTATACTCACCAATGCAGTTTCAATCTCTGTTCGATTCCCATATAGCATACGATGCAAACTAATTATACGAGAAACTGCATCTGATGAAAGGTACTTAGATAGATCCATTGCTAATAATTCAAGACATTCATTATAATCTGCACGGAAAAATTCATAATCCAATTGGCCACCCTTGTTACGCAAAATTCTTTCTTGTCTTTGTTGAATTTTCGTTACATTCAATATTTCTACTCCCGAAATATGGTCGAATAGATTAAATATTCTATCATTCATTGAGTGAATTGCTTCGTCAAAGATCTTTGAAAAAAATTCTCTATAATCTTTCACCATTTGTGGGTTGATATTTTCAAATCTTCTATACATATTTTCATCGAAATTTACCATTATTTCTTTATGAATTGAAATAATTCGATGACAATCATTATTCCCTCTCATAGATAAATACATATTCTTCATATTTTCGCTTTTAGGAACTGTTTCAAAATATTTCTGGTATAAAAAGGAAAACGTAAACATTTACAATATGAATTATCCACATTCACAAACATCAAACCTTTTTTAAATATTGGAATTGATGGTCCACTTGCGATTGTAGTATTTGTAGTTGTTTTTCTAAATTCTCTATTTGTTGTTGTTGTTGCTGTGGCTGAGAACAACCGCCTTCCATCCAAATACAGATTAAAACGATGAAGCCAAGCAGATTCATTTTTCTATCGTGTTGCCCGAATAATGCGAATAGTTTCAAAGCACAATTTCAACTAACAGCGCATCGAATCAAATGAATTGAAGTAAGTGCAAAATTGAACAGAGAGTCAAACGACAATTGCAGCAAACAGCAATCATTAATTCATGAATAATTCGACCCAACTGAAGCTGATTAAATTGAATGGAGTTAGAAGAGCGAGCGAAACGGGGTCTGCTCGTGATTTATGAAAAAACAATATCAAAATAGAATAAACTGGATCTTACATCCGTCAGCTGAACTTTTCCACTGAACACAATCGCATATAAACCTTTGACATCTTAAAGCATTGATTCTCTTGTTAACAATTTTTCTGAAGCATATACATTTTATGATATTTTGTTAGTTAAATTTGTATTTCAGTATTTCTTGAAAAAATGTCCGGTATTTAGATTAATTTGCAAATGTACTTATGAATTCACCTGGAACAATCCTGAAAAAACCTGATTCACCTGGAACAATCTTTTCATTTAATGATTCATGCATTTTATGGAATGCTATTTTAAAAAATAGTGGTCTTTGTGAAGATTAATTTTTTTCGAATATTCTTCATTTAAAAGATTAGTTTTATATAAATTTTCGTATGATTGCGGCTTGAAAAATGAATACATTTTATTGTTTTGAATTACATTGAAGCGCTAATTAATGAATCCATATCGACAAATTCAAGTTCATTTGGCGAAACGTTTGGCAGGTTGTTAATTACCGAATCTTAACCCTCTCAGTGCATAGCCCTGCCTTTGGGCAGGGTGTATGAATTATTGTCTAAAATATATAAGAATTAAAATATATTCAGCAGGGTTCAGGCTTTCATTTGCCGGTCATTTGACAAGTGAAAATAAAGCGGTTGTTTAATTATAAACACAGATGTACGCGAAAACAGAAATTTGATAAAAAAATATCTCTCTCTTCGTTTATAGCAATTTTATAGCAGTTTAAACAATGGTTTCGATTGTTCTCCAATTGTGTCAATAGCATTTTTTGAGTAAACTATGCAATTTTTTGAATTTCGAATTTTAAGGAATTTTAAACCAAAATAATCATAGAAAAATAGTTCTCATGTCGAAAAAAATTAATACATTAGAGGGTTAATATGAGACACTCCGTAGGAAACTAAAGCAAACAATACCTTGAAAATTGAACTTTCGAGCACATAGCCCAAAAACTTGGAAAACATTAAAATCTCCGAACGAACATGTTTAGCTGAAAATGAGCGATCATGGACAAGAACCTGTTAAAAAAACAACAATTTAAACTATCAAATAACAGCAATTTGAATTTTGGTGCTTAAAGAAACTTTACAGGTGTCTTAAAAAGAATGCTTCTCTCTTATGATTATTCCAAAACAAGTTCTTTGTTATGCTTATTGGAACCGTATGAAAAACGATCATTTTTATACCAAAAACTAAACTATCCACTCCTCAGTTAACGAAGAGTCAATTCATGTTCCCCTCCAAATATGAGCAATATTCTCCGCTCGCTTAATTGTCGCTCAGTTATGTCATTAAATGCGGTCGCCTAGCAATACACTGTATTCGAATTGTTTGGGTGTGGTGAAACGGCGTCATTAATCACGTGATCATACATAGAAAACTTCAAATTCACACACACGATACAGACACACCAAATCAACCACATACACATACACACCACATCAAAAACGTCCAAAGAAAAAGAAAAAAAAAACACAACGAAACTGTTGCTTGAATCAGAACCATTCGCTATAGTAAACATACATCAATTATTCGAAAAATATATAACAAAATTAAAATGAATAACTTTCATTTGGTCATTGGAATCATATTTCTTGCATTTTGTGTTGAAAAAGGTAAGTTAAAGTTACAAACTGTGAAGTGTTGTACGGTTGATTGAAAGACAATCAACAAAACAACCAAAGAATATTACATACTACAAAAAAGCCACTGCCCATTTTTAATTTATGTTTGATATGTGTCAACAAGTGAGGTTATATACGCAACTCTACATTGAATTATATACGCAATTTAATGATCGATTTAATTTTCACATGTGAAAAATTAGTTTTTTTAATGTTCCCAATTCAAATTCTTAATTCAAATAGGCTTGTGCATAAAATGCTGGGAATGCCGATCTGATTCCGATCCAAAATGCGCCGATCCATTTGACAACAGTACTCTTTCGATCACAGACTGCAAACAGGTGCAATCGTTGGAACATTTGAAAGATGTAAAAGCGACTATGTGCCGCAAAATTCGACAAAAGGGTATGTGTGTACAACTTTTTTCCAATGGTTACATTGAATATTAAGTGCATATTTTGATTGTTTTGCAGTGAATGGTGAATGGCGTTACTTTCGAAGCTGTGCGTTTATGGGTGAACCAGGCATCGTTGGCGATGAACGTTTTTGCTTAATGCGAACCGGCACATTCAACATCTTTATGGAATACTGTCAATGTAATAGCAAAGACGGATGCAACTCGGCCGGCATCATAAGTTCAAGCATATTCACATTGATTGCTGGTGTTTCAATAGTCTTATTTAAATACCTACCACAATTACTGTGCACGTAATTACGCACCAAAGGTCTGAACGAAATTCCATAGTGCCGTTAGAGCAAGCAACATCATTCATTTAAATGAAATCTCAATTCAAATAGTTTTTGAATAATCTACCATTGTGCCTATTTGTTTATTGAATTAGTTACTTATTATCAGTGGTATGTCAACAGTAAAAAAACCGTCCATTATCCATCAATTCCAGTATTCGGAGTATTATGATGTAAGAATCTCAGCAATACAGTCTAGAATAATGACATATTTTATTAGAAATTCCAAAAGCGTAAAAAGCCTGAGGAAAACAAAGAAAAATCCATCCGAAGGATTTCTATTCTATTTTTAAATGTTCTTTTTTAAATTTTGTAGGTCTTTTACTATTTCTAAAATAAATGATTTAAACGAGCGATTTGTTGTGGTTTTTGATCTAATTGACCGAGTCCAACTCGGCATTTTATTGTAATTTAAAATGCATTTTGTAAATATAAAAAAGAGATTCTCTTCCAAAAAGAGAGGACGGAATGATTGATTTTAAACAATTTCATTTCAAAATGGACGGATTCTTCTGAAATTGAATATAAACTGCGGTTTTTTTTTACTTAAATTAAATGATCAAGTGCATCTAGTTTCGTGCGGTAACTGCGTACATTACGAGTGTACTAATAATGATGGCAATCGTTGAGATTCGATTCTGGTCAGATCCATTACAGGCATCGTGTGAGCAATAACATTCCTCCCAATAGTCACCATTTTCATAGACTCCCCAATTGCACACGCCTGTGACACCTGTGTCTGCAACCGATGCACATCGACGTATTACATGTCGCCATCGACCGTCCCCTTCAAAATAAATAAATTTCCACATTTTTAATTCGAAACAAATTGTTGACAAATCTGTTACTTACAAATGAAACCCCTCGGGCCTTGTTGGACGACCTTCATGCAAAACGATCCGGGCATATGCGATTCGTCACTGTTGCATTCAATTGCAATGTGCTCGGATGCATTGAACTTTTTGTATGCACCACAACTGTCGACGCCTTTTACATCAGTTTGTGTTGAACATTGATAACATCGGATCGATAGAACTGTAAAACACGAAGAATTGACGATTTTCTCAAAAAAAATTGTTATAAATTGAAGTTGATGACTTTGGTATATTCTGACACAGTGCTTATTAATTGCCACTCCCATTAACATAAGAACCTTAGTTACTCACCATTTGCAAAGCAAAAGATAGACAAAACAGCTAAAACTATATAAATTTTATTGATTTCCATTGCAACGAATAATATTCCGGACAATACAAAATATAATAGTGGAAAACGATTATTCCTGGTCAAAAAAAATGAAAATATAAGTTCAGTATTTGTTATTTGATCATGTTGAGTCAACAAGCAACATAAATACTATTATTTTGATCAGACTGGCAGGTTTGACGTGAAGTTGCCCCGATTGCCAGTCTTGTGCCGCCATCTATCCGTTGGCATAATACACTCTTTTGGTAGCGATTTTTCTTTTTTTATTTTCAATTGGTTCGATTCCAAATGTAGATTAAAATAATTTATTCACAAGAAAATCTATTCGAAATTGAAAGATGTGAAATTGATTTGAGGAAACGTCAGAAGTTAAAGGAAACTAAAGAAAGTCAGCATAAATGAGAATGAAAAAAGTCAAATAGGAATTATTTGAAGTTACTTGCTTTGTGCGCAAAATTGTGTATTTCACAACTAAATACAAATTGTTGTAATTTATACTTTTGCCGATGTTTATCGAATTCTTCAAAATAACATTGAATCTTTATGCAAAATTTAAATTACATCTGATCACGAATACCATGTAAACAGACAATGTTTCTGTCATTATTTTTTGGTATACACTGAATATTGTATTGTATTTCAGTGTTCCGATTGGTTTCCGATAGGGTGAAATGTGATTGTTGATGGTGTCAAATACTGACATATTACAGTTCATCGAAGCCGGGATACAACATCAACAAACTTTTATCAAAAGTTTTATTAAAAGATAACAAAATGGATCAATTGCATTCAGCGTTAAATTCATTGAAGTTACTTCGAACAAATGTTGGTCAAATCTTTGAATCGCTCGGTGGTGGAATTCGTATTGAACACGGAGAAGAACATGGTGACAATAAATTTTTGCACGAACTTCAAGAGCTTCTAACAACAACAAATGGTTATTTGAGGTAGTGTCTTATATACTTTCATTTCGTGGTCGAGTTATCTATTGAAAAAATATATTTTGTTGGAAATTTCAATTTTTAGGGACTTGGAATCGACGGTAAACAGTCTTAGCACACCACCAGCGCCGCTTACACTTGGAAATACTTCATTTTTGGTCCAAGAACTGTCACAAGACCGGCAAGCACTCTATTCACAATTGGTCAACAGCTACAAATGGATCGACAAGGTAATGTCCAATCTGGCGTAATGTTTCTTCAAGAATACTGAACAATATTTTCTTTAGGTTCATGATTATGGTACGATAGCTGCAACCGTTTTACACGCAAATTCACTGAAGCGATCTTATAATAGCAACTCAAACAAACGTCGACGACCCTTGGGCTCTTGTCATAACATACCACCGTCGTAAGTTTTGTACACTTATTGTTATTGTCAAAGAACGCATTTTTTCAGAATTCTTTGTTATTGCAGACATTTCGACAGTGTTTTGACCAACATTGAGCGGTCATTTAACGACATGACCATAAATATAACGCGGCCACATGCTACAAATGCCATAGTTCATGTAAGTGATCTTTATTTGCTGAGAATAATTTCGTTTGAAAATTAAAGTTTCATCATTTTATAGATAACATTGGGTCATGTGCTGAAAGCAGTTCTTATCTTCAAAGGAATTATGATCGAATGGGTTACGGTGAAAGGTTATGATGAAACATTTGATGATGATTTATGGGCAGAATCAAGACATCAAGTCTTCCGTAAAGTTCAAGATCACACACATTCGGCAATGCTTCATTTCTACAGCCCAACGTTGCCGGATTTAGCAGTGAAATTCTTCATGGTATTTATGAAAATTGGTCCATGTACCCAAGAGATAAATAATTTGAAACTTTTTTTCTTCCTTTTTCTTCGTTGTAGGCATGGTTAAATAGTTACCTCAAGCTCTTCAGTGAGCCATGCAAAAAATGTGGAAATTATTTGCTGAACTCATATCCACCAACTTGGCGTGATTTCCGTTTATTGGAACCGTTCCACGAAGAATGCAAATGAAATATTTCATTATTTTCAATTTCAAAGTTGAGTCCATAAATAAAGTATAAGAGTTTTGAATAAAATTGAATTGCAATTGAATTCACTGTTTTTCGGTGTTCTATAAATATTTGACAAACATAGCATAAGTAGTACATATTGCATATAGAGCTGTCTCTGTCCCCCTCATACGCTGAATGCGATTGCGATGATACATATATACTTTACCTGTCACTTATCACACATACATGCAATCAATGTATACACATTACACATAGTTGAATGCGCGCATCGCGACTTTATAAAAGTCACAAAGCAATGCTTTTCTCTTGATATTTTGGTTTTTTCATTCAAACTGTTCTCACATCCGTACGCGTTCGACTTTTTCGAATGTGAAAAAGAAACGAAAAGAAATGGAATATAACACAAAAACGAGAAAAACTAACATATTGAAAGTTATATAGTTATTTGTTTCTTTTCTTCTTCGTCGTTGTTTTTTTTTTTTGTGTGTGTTTATGCGATAAAACCTATGCTCGCTCACATGTTTTCATTCGGTTCGTGACGCTATTTGTTTTCAACAGCACAGCAATTCGAATAGAATAGCGTAGCAAAGGAAAAAAAAAACACAAAACTAACATAATGCGGATGGGAAAAGGCTGAAAAGAACAATAATGAATTTCACTGCAAACATGTAAAATGCTACGGTGTGTGAGTGTTATGTTGCAAATATCTCGTGACACAAAATATGAATCTAAAAAATTGGGTGAATGTAAAAGAAAAAAAAGAAACAACATGATTTAGTGCAAAGAAATCATGTCAAAAATACTGCAGCGACGCAAACATTAGAAATAAAATTGTGTGAACACAGTCGTTTGTAGTCAGAGTCGTACGGAAACGGCATTTTAATTTTTGTTTCGGGTTTCATTAAAAATGGTGACGAAAAGGAAAAACAACAGCCAAATGAGATGTGCTCATTATTTAACAGTGCAAAGATAGTGCAAAAATTGTACATAAACGTGAAATCTGAAAATTGAATTAGCACTCGCACGAGATTGAGCCAATCGTCGAGGGACTAGTCACGAAACGACAAAAAAATCAATTTATATGATGTGATGTGTTTTAATGTGTAATAAACCAATGCAATTTACTTGTACTAAGTATGTAAATGATTTAAGGACAATGTGTGAGTGGCAAATAAACAGTCAGTAATGATGACCTCAAATGAAATATCATCTTAGCAGACATTTTAATGAGAGAATGTCATTTCATATTTACTCATGAAGAGAACTTTTTTATATTTGAATACGCAAAGATCATATCTAAACCTAAACGTAGGCAAAGTGCATGTGAATTTGAATGTAATTGATAAACAATTATGATGTGTACATATTTCTATGACGTTGAATGCAAGAAAATAGCGCTGTATTAAGATTGTGTTGCACTTCATTTCGCTCTCTGTGTATGCGTTGGACATTCAAAAATTAGCTGGTAATAAACAGCTCGTTCATGTATCACTAAATACAATCGTACATCAAGAACAGTTTTAAAATATTGATTATTGATTTGATTTGAGTGACCCGAACCTCTTAATTGGATCGCCAGTAATTTAAGTGTGACATTATTTCCAACAATTGCGACGCTTTAAATCGAAGCGGTGAAATTACACTAAATCAAATCATTTTCTTTAAGAAACATTGCGCATTAAAGAAAATAATCCATTTGCTCCAAATTGCCCGAAAGAGTCAATTTATTTGAATGTATCGGGTGAAAGTGTGTGTACACGTTTCGTGCAAAGTGGGTGTATTTTTAAACCGGGAAAATAATTTATAAATTTTTTTGTTTCTTCTTGAAATCCAATGACACGAATGGCACGTCGATTGAATTCGGTGGCGCTATGCGTCATCATTGTTTTATGTATTCTATTGATCTATGCCAGCAATCGAATCTCACTGTCTCCATTCTCATCTGCACCACCCGACGAATTTATGCGAACCATCAAAATTCACAATTCACATCGACAATACAATCAACAAAATTATTATGCAAACAATAACAACAATAATTATAATGCAATCGACAATGCAAATCGACATAGTGCAAAATATAACCATATCATGCATCCGCATAATACCGAACAACGTTCGCATCATAGGTTTATCGGTGGTGCACAAACATCAGAATCAGCAACCGTTGCAACCACCAATTTCATAAATATGACTGTGAGAATTGAAGACATCGTTGAGGCACAACGACAACGAATTGCATCGAAAATGAAAGATTTTGAGTATACCGATCAAATGATTGGGCTATCAGCCCTAACACCAGAGACCAACGGACAACCAATCCAAAGTGGTGAGTTCACATCGAATTGTGTCATGCATTTCGTTTTATGTTTTGAAAAAAGGTCGCATCTAATGACATTGCACTTGTTTATATGACTATGATTTCAATAAAGTATAGTCATTTAAATAATACATACCACTTTTTATACATTTCTCATTCTCATAACCGGTATTTTATTCAATGAAAACAAAAAGTCCAATCATTTATTCATTTACTTTAGAAAATGGGTTAACGAGTTGAAGGCGAAAAAATTCGCAAATAAAACGATTGATCAAATAAAATAAAATTAATGTAAATACCATTATTTCCATTATTGATTTTCCTTTATTTTGAGTCGACTGTGGCATGAATCATTCGCATCATTATCTGTAAATCGGCGGAATTAATCCGTCGACACGGACATTTTATTTTGAAATTTCTTTCTCTTTTAAATGAGAAAGAGAGAGTTATAAATTCAATACAAATTGTGAATAGAACAACATTTGACAACTGATATGCAGATATGTTTATAAGATTTATACAAAAACATCATAATCAAGACCGCACAACATTTATAAAGATAAAACGGGCCGACAAAAATGTTCCATTAATCGATTTTCTCAACTTCCGATACGTGTTTTCACTAATTTCACCATACACTCTAAATAAACAGATAAATATCGCTAATAATGACTGATTAAGGTATCTCTTTTATCAGACTGTGTGTATGCCAGTCATAGCAATGGTGTGATTGTGTGAAATGAATATTGAGAAGCAAAAAATATCGCAGCCATGAATACAAATATTTTAATTCATTTGAAACAATGACACCATTAGCATGCACAGCGTCTTGAAAGATGCATTAAATCGTCGCGATTTGCGATCTATATCTGTAGATGTCTACCTATCTATTTACTTTGTATGAATTTCACACATGTGAGAATCTCACAGTGAGATATGTATATCTTGTTTTTAATATACAGTATGACTTTCAATCGATTATCCATCAACTCTTGCTAAACATCAGCCACAAAAGTCGGAATTTCTCCCAAAATAATCTAGTTTTCGATGAATTTGTTTGCACATTTTTCATAATAATTATTTATTAATAATCGCGACCTATTTTGAAGACCACCGCTTTTAATGCGTTGGAACTCAGCAATTTTCATGTTGATTCAGGGGGAACATCTAAATTTTTGTTTGGAAATTATAAATTGATGTGATTGTTACCCATCTGTTTTTATTGTACCGCGCTTCACAAATAATCAGGTTTGTCAACTGTTGCTCTCTTCATCATTTGCATTCCATTTTAATGTTTAATTTGATTTTATAGTTGTTAACGTAATTATTGTGGAAAAATTCAGAAAATGATTCCACATTGATGAGTTATAATTAACACTAACAACTATTTCATTGCGAAACAGTTGTTTTCAATCTCGAACCTACCTCAATCAAAACTTTATGCAAGCACATGTTTTCCGTGTATATTTTGTATTAAAAAAGTGATTCAATAAAAAAAATCCGTAAAATAATCATAACAAAATTATTTTTTCTTCTTGTTATTTTTTCATAGTTATTTTATCGACATGGAGATCGGGTTCGACGTTCCTTGGTGATATTTTAAATGCGATGCCCGGCAACTATTACCATTACGAGCCATTATTGTACTACGACATACAACAGATACGTGGACCCCCAGATTCAACCGAAGCCATCAATACGCTTCGTCAATTGTTGAAGTGCAACTACACCGGATTGGATGAATACCTCGATTATGGCCAAGGGCATCATTTTCTATTCACACACAATACACGTTTGTGGAAAAATTGTCAACTTTATCCGCAATTTTGTTGGGAACCAAATTTCCTAAATCCCTTCTGTCGCCTATTTCCCTTCCAAAGTATGAAAGTGGTGCGATTACGTGCCGCACTGTCTGAACCTTTACTCATCGATCCTGCATTAAATGTACGAATAGTTTTACTGATCCGCGATCCGCGTGCAACGATTCAATCACGAAAACATCGTGACTGGTGTCCCGGGCAGAGTGACTGTGATAGTCCGGCAATATTATGTAAAGACATGGTATCCGATTACAAAGCGGCCGAAATCTTAACAAATAAATATCCATTACGCTTTAAAGCAATACGATACGAAGATCTGTCGTTGGACCCATTCAAAATGACGAAAGAAATATTGAACTTTTACGGATTACCGTTCGATGCGGATGTTGAAGAATTTTTAGATTCACATACTCGCACCGATATTGGTGGCGTAAGTTCGACATTTCGAGACTCAAAAACAGCACCATTTCATTGGATGCGCGATTTAAGTTGGTATGAAATTGAACAAATTCAAAAGCATTGTACCGAAGCGATGTCAATGTGGGGCTATAAAAAAGCCGAAAACGAAGACACATTGATGGGTACGATTTTCAATCCCTTAGTTCAATTTCCATTTGCCGACAATACAGCGGCCGCCGTTGCTGGTCTTGCTGCACAAAACGAACAACAAAGTGATAGAAAAAACGGTTAATAACATAACGATGAAGTAAACGAATAGAGGAACATACACTGAAAGAACGCACACAAAATGCAAACGCAGTCAATGGAATCTCATGCAATATATTGAAATAAACAGAGCACACACACACATACACCTATTTTAAAATATGTTGTTATCATTATTTATGCAGAAACATGCTTCCAGCTTTTTATTACGGACAAGCTAGGTTAGCTCAGCTAACCACTTGCACTAGACACGCAAAAAAAATACCAACTTTATTTTTTATTGCAAAAACTAACAACAACAGTTAGATGTTTTATTTGATTTAAGTTTTGATTGATCCATTCCAATGCCTAAAATGCACATTCGCAATTCCATTCAATTCTTTTTCGCTTGATTCTCGTTGCATATATGAGGTAAATATGCAGAATGCAAGAGAATTTGATTGAGTGTGTGTGTGCTTGAATTGGAGAGAATGAAAGAGATTGCAGAACCACTTGCATACCAGTGATACAACAATGGCAATTTAGGATAGTAATATAATTAAAATCTAATTGCACATACCACATCAAACGAATTTGAACGAAGCAAACAAAAAAAAACATCTTCACATTTTTAAATATAGGTAGAAGAAATCATTTGTTTAGTCAGATATTGTTTTTATAGTGTTTCATTGTATGGTTAATTTATTTAACGGTATTTCGATATAATTTGGATCAACGATAAACCGACGACAAATTCAAAAAAAAAAAAAATTGAGTCGGTAAAGGCAATAGAAATTTAACAAAATGAAATTAATAGACATTATCATTAAAATGATCATTATGAATAGTGCCTAATAATTAAAGTAAAAGTACCGAGCATGGCTTTATAATCATCATCTAAACACAGACGATGGAAAATAATTTATTTATATGAATAAAGAAAAATAAGAACAAACCATTGAAAATAAAATCAAACAATGCTCTTTTTTTTACTTCTTTATTTCTCGGTACAAATGTTGTTGTTTTTTTGTTATTTTGTTTTCAGTAATTAGATAGCAATGAGAATCGTTGGGGTGAATAGATGAAGGCCGACATATTCACATGACCGTGTACATTTTTATGCACGCAAATTTCCGTTCTACGCCATTAACTTCTTCATTCGTCGTCACCACTTGATTCTTCTTCACTCGATGCATTCAACCATTCAATTAATTTAGCTAATGAGCTTCGAATCCATTCTTTATCATCATCGAGTTCATCGTGCCATGAAAGAATGCTTTCTTCGGTTATAATTTCCTTGTCGTATAAGAAGTGAATGATTTGCGCGATTTTCGATTTTAATTTCTCATTTTGATGGCAACTCTCCTACAAATTGTACAAATAAAATTTACATTTGTTGCGTGTACGTCTTCACATCATGAATATTTAAATGAAATGGGCAAACAAACCTCAATAGCTTTTAAGCAATCGTCCATGGCTTCTGCTCCGCGTATATAGTTTTTCAGTACACCGTGAAGTTGTGCAAATATTTGATTGAATGCCGTTAAAACATTTCCATTTGATTCATCTTTAATTGGATACAAATTGAGTAATGCCTTAACCACATAGAAATTCACTTCAGATAATGACATATTGTATGCATAACGTGATGAATTTATTTCCAGCACCAGATATTCGGATTTGGTTTTCTCTTTGAAGCCGCGTTCAAGCGAATCGATTACTTCACCTAGGAAAACTGATGTGTGAAGAAAAACAATAAATTTTTGTATAAATATTTGATTTTGATGAAATTTAAGGTAAGTGAACGTACTATTGGCATCGTCGAGCATTACAGGAGAATCTCTATTCGATTCAGAACCATCGTCACTTGAACTATAAATGCTGCTCTCGTATTTATAAACACGCTCTGTCATATGAAGATTATTCAATTCGGCGCATACACTTTCTTCGTCTGAATCGGCACCGGTTTTTGCAATTTTCTCAGTCTCGCTTAGTTTCATGATGTACGCGTGTTCGCCGATCTTCTTGTAAGTTGCTACAATGACAGACAATTTAAAAATCGATTTGAACGGAAATATTTTGGAAAAGTACTTTTTTAAAGAAAACATCGCATACCATCGTCATATTCATCAGTGCCAGCCTGTGCAACAACGAATTCCTTTTCTATATCTTTGGGAATGATACAATTGCTGCCAATAACTGCTCCACTGTGAATGCTTGATGTATTTTCAACTTTTGTATTCTTTCCAATTACACAGTCCTTAAGCACACACTTATCTCCAATTTCAACATTATCAAATATATACGCATTTTCGAGTACACAATTTCGTCCGATTTTGCAATTTTTTCCGATGACTGCATTTCCTAGCTCACTCCCATCGCCAACGATACAATCATCGTTGATAACAACATTTTCCCTTGATATAGCGCTGCGGGCTAATTGAACGGTTCTACTGCGATATACATTGTTTCGTAAAAACATGTACTCTTGTCGCAAACTGCAAATTCCCATATCGGGAACTAAGGGATAAGCCCATCGATTGATGATATCGTGACTACAACGAACAAGAAAAGTTTTTTTATTTCACATCTGAAATATTGTCAATAAACAAAGAACTCACCTAACAATTCGATACATTTGCCAATCCTTTACTGTGGCCGCATATTGTTGGCTGGACAATTCAGCCACATAAATGGTGCTCGCCAATATCTCTTCGTTGATTAAAAGTCCACGAATGAAATCGTCGCGAGTTTGAAAATCAAAATTATCGGCAAACAACGAAAGAACGGATGGTGCACAGATTGCAATATCCGGATCGCATAAATCATGTCTTATTTCAACGTCGGAATTTGAAAAAATCTCTAATGGAAAATCACAATACCGCGATGTTTTTGTATTGGCTTTGACACGTTGATGGAACAACATTCGCTTCGTTCGAGCATCGTTTGCAATTATAACCTCTTGACCGGTGGAAATTCCGGGCGCCGATTTTTTATACACTACCGTCATCGAGGTACCTTCATCGAATGCACATTTTTTACTGAAAGAGAATATTTTTTTTAAATAGAATCGAAATTCTTTGACATTTTTAGGTCAACTTACATGTGAGTTTGAAGAATGGTGTGTAAGTTGGCATTAGTGACTGTGTCAGCATTCAATAGAATGAAATGCTTTCGCAGCAATCGCTTGGCGTACAAATCACGCAAAGCATCACCCAAGCAATGGCATCCATCAGATCCAACCACCTGGACCACCATTTGAATTGACCACGTACATTTTTCCCCTATTCTTTTGCTACAATGAAAAAAATCGAACAATATTTATTGGAATTTTATTTTCTTGTGGACATTAAAGCGAAATTCAGTTACTTACTTGATGTGCGCCTTAATTTCATCGACATGATTAGTTGCAAATAGAAAAACCTCTTCGACTAACGATCTATTTAACGCTTCCAGAGCGTAATCAATCATAGGCGTATTTACCAGCGGCAGCAAGCTCTGTGAATGAATTTTTTTATTGCATTATATTCGTCTACGTTTACATCATATGGTAATTGGCATTAAATTTGAAAAAAAAAAACATAATTTAAACTTACAGTGCTGCCTTCATTCACAAACGGTTGAAGTTTTTTATCATAGACATCGGCTATCAAAACTGCCTGAACGGTATCTTCCTTTTGCATCGTATTCATATTTTTTTTATTTATTTCAATTTTTCTTTCACGGAACAAATAAAACTCACTTCAAAATACACATTTGGTTGATTGGGAAATGTCAAAATGTGAGCATTACAACTTGAATGAATTTATGTGTCAAAATGGCTTGTTCACATTTCACCTGTCAAATCTTTTACCGGCAATTTCAAGATAAAAAAATGTACGGTTGAAAAATATATTTTTTCACAAAAAAAAAATCAGGAATAAATATATAATAAATTTTTCTTTTTGCAAAAAAAAAAAACAACAACTTACATCTGTAGTTATTATCAGAAAATGAAAAAAAAATTGAAAATAAATATTGTCCTGATTTTCGATGTGCGTGTGTGTATGTGTTGTTTCGAATGTGAACGAAGATCTGAAAAGGGCATGGTATAAATAATAGTCAATAAGAGAAAGCACGTTGTCGTCTTTATCGCTCTCTATTGTGTTTACCTCAAACCATGGAGATGAAGCTGTACACAAGTCTGTTGGAATGCGAGCATAAGCATGGTGCGTGTACATGTATTAGTGAGTTGCACACCCGCAAACCACTTTACATCGTCGGTCTAACCTAACATTTTATTTCCTCATTCAATACAAAGTCGCCTTGTTTCATTGTGTGCCATTCATGTGTGTATTGGTTTTATGTATAGCATCTCCACATGAACGCAGCAACGTGTATTGTAGCGACTTTAGTTTTTTCGCGATTTTCCTGCTGTATTATATGTTGTACACGTGAATCGGTCAAACAATTTCAAAATAATTGAACTAAATCAAACATAAATTCCGTGTATTCGAACAGCACAAAGATAAATCTCCGTTCGATTGATTTATCACTGAAAATCATAAATATTTGTGTTTGGCATTTGAATTTTGAAAGTATTTTAAAGTGAATTGAATTTTGGTGAAAGAACGATCTGATGCGTGTGCTGTGCCACACGTGAAAAAATAGACTATGTGGAAATAACCCTACGTTTATCACATTAAATAGAATAATTGTTTAGAGAAAAAGAAATTTAGTTCAGTGAGTGATCCTGACACAATATCTGTCGAAAGGATAGAGAATTTTGAAGAAATAAATAAAGGTAACATTTTCTACATCGAAGCACATTTCTATGAAACATACAATATGTTGAAATTTTGTTGACAAATGTGACTGGTCAGAATTTAATGGTTTACATTGTAATTCAAACTGTCTTGGAATGCGATGCATCAGCAAATTTTATCATTTTTCATTTTGTGATTCGTTTTGAGTTATTTGATTTTTTTTTTAATATATAAATGCCGCATGTCTTTAAAAAAAAGTGTGCGAAACAAGACAACGTGCCTGTCAACCCATCAAAAATGTCAATATGTCGTTGTGTATATTTTTCAAAATTAAAAACAACTTTGTCACAGCCAATGCTTTCAAATCATATGATTTTTGTGTTGAGTACATACATTTTTTTTTCGGTGATCACGTACAGTATGCAGCCAATGAATTCTAATTCATATAAGATCGTTTTTACATAATTTCGAATGCGATCCGATATATTCAAAATGTGGCATGCGTTACATATGTAAAGTAGTTTATGTTTGATTAGTGACGTCATAAAGCGAAAGAAGCGAGATTTTATCATTGATGCTACAAACTAAATGGTTTATAAATAAATTGATGCTGATGAGCGAGTGTTGACCAATCATCGTCGCTGTTTTCGAAACTAAAAAGAATTTGTCTGATAATAGTTTAGTCAATGTCAAACTAACGTTTTGGCTTTCACTCGAACCGAGTTTTCTTTTGTCTTCTTACACAACAACAATTACAATTTTGTTCTGTCTTTCTTTTAAGATTCGGAAATATTTCAATGGATGGTGGCACATGCAACGCAAGCATTCAATTCGGAAATTATGCATACAATATGTCAGGAGTCACCACTGAACAATCTGAGTAAGCATCGAGTCTATGGCACAAATGAAATATTCGAAATTGAATTTAAATTAATATTTTTAATCGAAATTCACAGATTAAAGTCGACAGCGATACAAGTAGAAAATCAATTATCCAATGGTTTTGAATTTGCCAACGAAAACGATGACGAATTTGAGCTACAAGTGAGTTTCGAGTTCATTCTGTAATCGGGTTCATTTGAATATGCCTCGATTTAATGAAATTATTGCTTTTTTTCAGGATGTTGAAATCATTGCAATAGATCCGAATAACTTTTACACGGAAACAACATCCGATTCCGAATCGTCAAGTGAATCCGATGACGACATAGCCAATAAACAATGTGTAAATATGTCAAAAAATGCTACCACATTCAGTGTACAGGCTTCGTTCGACGCACAAACATCGAAGGATGACTTTGATATAATAACGTTGAATATTGATGAAGAATTTCCAATTGATACGCACGTTGATGAAATTCTATTTACAAACGATCAATTCGATTTGGCTAGCTACATTGGCGGTGAGAGTACATCGTTGCTGTTATCTCCAATAATTGACGCATCAGCAGCTCGTCGTCGTTTAATATCGATCAGTGATTTTGGCCATTTGGAATGCAATCAAACACCGATAAAACGTGATTTATCACGAATGCCTGTTGCCCAAAAGAATTTGGCCCATGACAAAGTAGCAAAAACACCAGCCAGTAATCGACGAAAAAGGAAAAACTTATCACGCGAATTCATAGAGACTAGTGATAGTGATGATGAGAATGAGACTAGTACAATAAAGAACAGTATAAATCATGTAAACGATGATAGTAGTAAACGTAAGCTAAGCAAAGATGTTGACCCAGTGTGGAGTCCAATCGTTGATAAACGTGGTGCCAAAATAGCAAAGCAGCAACCAGTCTGCCGTACTAAAGAAACTGTCGATCGCATTGATTCAAATGCCAACAACCATGCGACCACCAAAAGTGGTCAACAAAAATTTCAGGGAAAGGGCCTTAGAAATATGTTAAAGCAACAATTGCTGTCTGACCGTCCTATGAACAAAGGGAAATTACTTAAGACATTGTCAATGCCAGGCTCGATACCAACGGAACGCGAGAACGACAAACAACCAAAAGTTGCATCACATTCAATTAAACGACTGGGCGTTGGTCGTGGCAAAGATATTCATATAACAGCCAAATATTATAACTGTAACGAACCGAGTGATAATTGTGAACGTGATAAAAGTTTTAAGCAAGATAGATTTCATCAAATTTATACCGATTCCGACACCGATACGGAGTCCGAATCCGATTCTGATATCGAGGTGAACAGCGAACCAACACCATCACCAAAAGACACTTTTAAAGAAAAACCGGACATTATCCATGAAGTTAATCGCATTAAGAAAATGTCACCAGAAAATGATTTCGAGAAGAGATCATGTCATGAAGAAGAATGTGTTAAGAAAATTGCGGACAGTAAAAAGATATCGAATGGAAAAAGTAAACCAACTGTTATTGACAATAGCAGTATGGATTCAACCGATTTCGCTAAAGCACTTGTGACAAATGCCAAACTGGTAGCGAAGAAGAAACAACCGATTTCGAAAAAAAGTAATTTGGAACAGCAAAAACGTTTGATTAAATCGAATATTTTATTACACAATCCGGCCAAGTTCAAAATTTTTTCACATGACAAAAATAAATCAATTTCAAACAGCACCGCAGTGTCAAATGAAGTAAAAGTATACCCATTCAATGAGCTGACCGAACGCAAATTACAGCCAGTTAAGGCTGCAGTGCAAGAGTTACCCACAAAACGAGCGTTCAGTGACAAATCAAATAAATGCGAAGAAGTGTTTGGCAAAAATGAAGCAATCGAAACAGTCGATAAAGTGGTAAAAGTCACGGTAGTTCAAGAAATCACCGAAATAAAAGATGTTAAAGAAAGTGATGTTCAAGAGAGTGTGGCACGAGATGTGTTGATCATAGAAGAAAGTAAGGTTGAATCAAGTTCAAAACGAAAACTAAATCTTCAAGAATACTTGAAACGAAAGAGTTTAAAGATGTCACACGTTGGTTCCGGCCCTTCCGATGGTTTGCTAGTTAATATAAAAACCGAACCCGCTGAGGGCGAAACACAAAATCAAGAAAGCAATAATGCCAACGGTGATGCAGCTTCGAATAGTACAATGGCTGTAGATTCGATGTACGAAGAGATTATCATCGTTTCAATGGCTTGCAATACAGATATATCAATTCCAGAACTGTCATTCATTCAATCGTCCGAAATGAAAGATGTCAATTCGGTAAAGTCATCGGTATTGCTGTCGGATATTCAAACATCGGTTGAACGTGCAAATTCAAAAATTTCGTCCATGTCTCTAATATCAAGTATTCAGGATGTTATATTGAAAAAGAATCATAATATCGAACTACAAAATGGTAAAAAAGAACCTTCTTCAGAAGCATCGCATAAAAAGGAGAACAACGAAGAGAAACCAGAGCATGGTGAAAATAAAGTTATTATGCATTTGCGTAAAGATCGTGTACAACCAAAAAAGGTTTCAACGTCCGTACAAACTGATCCATACTTTCAATTTCCGCCGTTGGAAAAATGGGTGCCCTTATCGAAAAAGCAATTAACATTGACCGAAAAACGTATGAACAGTATACCGAATGAATTGCACTTTATGCGTTCGGATAGCAAAAATCGTATGCATCGCAACTATCGCGTTCCAAGCCATTTATCTGAGTCTAGTTATTATAGTGACGAAGAAAATAAAACGATTCAGAGACGTTCACGACATTCAGATTTCATTGAACATAACACCGTTCGACGTAGACGACAGCGCAGAGAATCGAGTCATTATTCATCATCCAAATACGATAGATATTCGAGTAGACATCGTACAATTAGCCGATCATTGTCAAGCAGTAGTAATACTTCAACTACCTCAACCGATTCATCCACAACATCGCAATCATCGAGCAGCTCCGATACATATGTGTCGAGCGCATCACCACGTTCATTAAATAGCTACGGCGGTAGTTCATCGAAATCATATTACGGTGACGATCAACAATACTACAGAAAACGTACAACATCGAACAATTCACGACGCAGTAATTATAGACATATGCCACCGATCAAACGAAACAATTCACCAGGTTTGTGAAATTATTTTTCTTTTTACTTTTACATGTATTTTTAGTACTATTAGCATATAAAGAAGTCAGTGCAAAATCAATGTTTAAAATTAAGATGAAAAAAAAGAACGTTGCAAATTTTGAGGTTGTGTTACCGTGCACAGTTCAAATGCATCAACTGTCATCGCTGTCATAGCTTTGTATTTGCACACTTTTCTATTTTAAAGAATTGAAATTCAACCGGTGGTATTTTCATTCTGAATGTTTTCCATTACAGAAGAACGGCGAATTGTATATGTCGGACGCATCGAGGAAGAAACCACAAAAGAAGAATTACGGCGAAAATTTTCAGTATATGGTCAAATAAAAAATGTGTCAATACATTACAAACAGTAAGTTTAAATGATTTTCATTACAACTTTGAAATGACATTCAACTTTGTTTGGTTTGTTGATTTTTCGAATTCACAGAACCAAAATGAGATATGGATTTATCACATTTTTGCGACCAGCCGATGCATATACTGCCATCGATGACAGTTCCAAAAATCCAGCCATTCGTCATTACGATATTAGTTTTGGGGGCCGTCGTGCCTTCTGTCGTGAAAAGTATTTCGATTTGGGTAAGTTCACCCGTCATGCATTTGTGATTGAACGTTGTGAATTAAATGTGAAAAATACATCACTTCTAGATAATACTGGCTTCGGGTTCCGTAGTGCTGACACACCTAGTACAAGTCCACAAAAGCAGCCAAAGGATACTGATGATTCATTTGATGTGTTGTTGCGCAGAATGAAGGAAAAGTTGCAAGAAAACAAAAAATAGTCACATTCTTTTATAAAAACAAACATAGTGTCTAGTCTTAAGACTAGTTATTTGCGATAACTGCCTATTTTTTACTATTGAAAACATTTGAATTTGTTTTCCCCCTTTTTATACTTGAAAAGAAAAAAAAAATCTTTTGTTATACCGGCGACTTTCGAAAAAATAAAAAAAAAACACAAAGAACTTTAAAGTTGAACATTTTCTTTTTTTTCTTTATTGGGAACAGGTTTCTTATTAACAAAGTTAAGTTTGTTGTTTATAGCTATAAATCTTTTTTTAAAGGAAAATTTTATTTTCATAAAAAAACGAAATGTACAAAATTAAAAAAGTCTTTGATCCACATATCTATTTCTCTTTTAATAATAAATATATTGTAAATTGATTGTTCTTTTCTATCTATTACATTTGCTTGACGAAACAAATCAGGAACGGCAAAGCGTTAGAGAGATTGCTATGCAATACATTTAAGATTTACTATCACTATACTTTCAACCAACCCAAAATGAAAATAAGTTTCGCCGTTTGTTTAGTCATCCCGTGCCCAGCTCGGACGAGTGGTTTTGAAAACCCATTGATGATAGGCATTGTTGACGTCACACGGTTGTAATGACATTTGATGTGTTTGCGGATGAACACCAAGGCATCGTTTCTGCGACCTGTGCAAAATCGTTCTGGATTTCTCATCATATGTCCATGGACCGTCTACCGTACCCAAGCGACAGAACGCCAATTTAACACCCTGTCGATCTGCTTCAACACATCTCTCACCTATGCAAATAATCGATATTTTGAATTAAATTGCTTTCGTTAACAAGTAACTTTAATTAGAACTCACCAACTCCAAGCTGTCCAGCGGCATTCAATCGTAATAATTGATTATTGCCATGTCCGTGACAATGTTGAAGACCCATTATTGACGGTGGTTGTCGACCCATTGCATCCATACCTATATTGATTGAGAATTCAGTAGAGAAAAATAGTCGACAATTTGATTTTATCGTATCACTTACACATTTCAGTCGCGACCGAACGCAGTTCACCCCAATGTAAATTAGGTGGAAGTTGTGGAAATTTATCGAAGACGTCGTAAGCCACATTATCCATAAACCATTGGAAACTTTTGCACTGTAGTTTCTCTTTCAATGCCAACTGTTCGGTTATATCGCCCATATCTAAGTAACGTGCCAACGGCTCGCGAGTATAGAAGAACTCTTTGTATTTATCATCAAACCATGTTTCAATCACACGTTTATAGTTGATTGTAATTAATGGTCCCTTTTTCTTTTCGGCCAATTTTCCTGAAACAAAAAATAGGAAAAGTCACAATTTGGTTCAAAAACACCTTCCTCTTCTTTAATGGAATTCAAACAATTTGAGTTTCAATTCTGCGGTCTGTCTAGTTTTTTGCATGGTACACTTACCAAAGTTGTATGGCATGAATCCTCTATACACGTGCCCCACTCTACTGCATGGAACCCTATAAATAATAATGATAAATAAATATCAAAAATTTTGAATAAATTCGTAAACGAATGGATTTGCATACCATTCAATACTTCCTCCGCATTGCCATATTTTAAAAGAAAGCTCAAAATTCTCTCCGCCCCACACCAGAAGACCGGGGTCATAAGTACCAAGCTCGAGGAAGAAATCTCGATTGATTGCAAACAAGCCACCTGCATGGGTCGGGCTTTTGTATGGTTCAGAATTGTACTGTCGCCGCTTTTGTTCTCTTGCCGGAACTTCATTCTCCTTATACAGCATGCCCCATTCAAAAATACTATTTCGAAATAATTGAATTAGAAACAATGAAAATCGAATGTTTGATCTCGAGATGTCACTTACCCGCGATAATGATGGCCATCAGAATAAACTGGACGATATTCGAATGTTTTATGGTCAATGCCATCAATGACGGGCACTGTCATAACAGTTCGATCAGCATAGATTGGTGCAAGCAACGGAGGCAACCAGTTGGTATTTACTTCACAATGTGCATCTAAAAATACAATCACTTCACCGGTTGCTTCTTTCGCACCTCTGCTACGTGTTCGAATCAAGCCTTCTCTTTCTGAATTTCGTATTAAACGCACTTTCCCATTGAATCGCTCAATGTAATTTGTGAGTTTATCTTTTAAATTTTCCTTATCCGAAAAGTCATCGACCAGCAGAATTTCGTGTAAAATATGCTTTGGCGTTCGATTCAATACCGAGTGAACCGTTCGCAAAAGTACTGACCAACCTTCATTGTGAAATACAATAATAACTGAGGTGGTAGGCAGATCTTTTGCATAATTCCAATGTTTACACTCCTCTAACCGTGTATCTTTGACAGCACGATCCAATGAGATCTCATCCGAACAGGCAATATTCATGCCATACTCCATTTCTGATGCATCCGCTAAATTTTGCTTATCTTCTGGTAAACTATAGGCTTCACCATATTCACCGGGACCTTCTCTTTTTTCCTCGTGTTTTGGTTCATAATTTCCTAATTCTGGAAGACGGACGGAATATGTTTAGGAAAATGCAATTATTAATCATTCGCATAAAATTAGTAAATTACCTCCTTTTGAAAAGACTGGCCGTTCTCTTGGTTTTTCGGCCGTAAACCGAGATGAAATTGCACTTTTGGCTCGTGAATGTACATTTGAATCAGAAAATAGGAAGTAAAATACCGCCAACACAATTATTGCACCGATTGCTATTTTAATCAATTGAATGCGTCCGCGTCGCATTTTTTTGTTCAGTCTTTTACTTTTTCGTCTTAAACAAATTAATTACTAATAAGAAAATGTTTGATGATTATAATCACGTTTTTCACAAAAATTCTTTGTCTTCATCAGGCAAATGACATTCACCTAGACCGATGTGACATTATAGTTTACACGAAAACTTTCTGCTCAAAGAGTGTCGACGTGTCTGAGTTACCGCCGTTCAAATGAACATTCTAAATGCTAATATCACTGTTATTATGTATACGTCAAAGTGAGAAGAGATTATTGGAACCATAAACAACTTGGGCTTTCTTGATTTCAATACAGATTATCGTCAACAATGACAAATCCATCTGTATGAATGTATGTATGTGTAAAGTAATACAATCTAGTACGACGAATCAAGAAAGAGAGAAGCATAGTGCGTGTGCGAGAGGGAAAAAGTATTAAAAACAAACACAAAATAAGAGAAATATTAAAGAACCTTTATTATTCTATGAAGTTGAAATCAGTTATTTTTTTAATGACTTCTTTAAATTAATTTGATTTTAAAATACATTAAATAGAACAATTTAAATGACAAACTACAATATCTTTTGAATCGTTAATTTAACATGAAGTTGGTTGTCGATTAACCAGTCAAAAACACAGAAGATTTGAGTCGTTGACGATGTGTTGTTCCTAATTTTCAAGTATTTATTCGTTCAGCTCTTACTGAAAGACGTTTTCACTGAGTAACTCTGATTAAAAAGACAACTGTTTATAACGGTTTCTATTTTATTTTAATTCATTTGCGAATATGTCAATGACCTCACACAGCTTGCCAGTTGAATCAACAAGCAGCTGTTATATATTTATATACCCCAAACGCACAAGATCATCAAAAAGGTCGTTGATTAACCCACTAAATTTTTCTTGAGTTTCTTCATCGAGGTTGTTTATTAGATCAATTTCTTCTCCTCTCTCAACGCATGCCGAATAATCGCCTATCGGCTTTATATCTTTTGGATTCGTAATTTTGACTAATAGTAGCATCGGAACTACTAAAAGTGTAAATTCACCGAATTTCTTCAATTCATTTTGTAAATTTTCGTAGCTAAACAATCCATCTGGATCGCTTCCAAGTTTCTCGATTGTCGTGCTCAACGAAGAGTGATAAGCTTGTAGTAACTGTTCATAGTGCTTTTCACGGAAGTTCTTATCAGTTGAAGAAAAAATGTTGTATAGCAAATCAAGGGCGGGTGAACAGGAATGTGTGAACTGCCAGTCCAAAAAGCAAATGGACTTCAATTGGGTCTTCTATAAAAAAAAGAATGATATAAAACTGTCATGATAAATGATCCAATGTCATTGGGTGTATGTCATACGTACATTTTTATCGAAATACTGGAATAAAAAGTTGTTTGACCAACAATCCGAGTGTCCGATTACAGTGAAATCTTTGTTGCATGTCCCAGATAAATAATACTCCAATTTTTGTTCGCAATTGCTCCGAATATTGTTCATGAATTGTTTGTATTTCGGATTTTTTAATGCATTTGCTGCTCTCTCGATTGATTTCAACACTAACGACCGAAATAATCCACGACTCACAACATCCACAAAAAGATCGTTCATTTGATTGAATTCGGCGAATTGATCTGGTCGTTGAGTTTTCATTGCAAATGCAACACCATTAAATTTTCCCAATTCTGTCATGATGCGCAGCTCATGATCAAGAGAAATTTCTTTTTCCTTGGGCCACATTTCGTAATTTTTCGATCTCATATCTTCCATAATTAAAATATAATTTCCATCTTTTTCATTTGCTTCACACGCGTACACTTTTGGAAATGACAAAAATGAGTCAGCCTCGCTAAGTCCTTGATTTTGTTGAAAACTGGTGAAAGCGGGTAATAATTTTGAATAAACATAAATTTCACGATCGAATACCAAATTTGATTTGAGGATCTTTCTACGGTTTTCATCCACTGGTGGCGTTTTACAAATCAACGACAACTCCTCGTATTTGCTTTGATTATTTACATTTTTTGTTCCAGATATTGTCACCGCAATCAAAATACCAACGTAATTATCACCATGACTTGAACCAATTTTCGTTTCAATTTCATATTCACCAAATCCTTCATCTTTTGCCACTCGATGCAAAGTATTCTTCAATGCTTCAGACAACATTTTTTTTAATAATTTATCAGACAATTTTTATTTTGTGCAGAAAATGAAAGAATCGCGAATTTTTTCGGTCAATAGTCCACTGAGAATTTATTCAACTAAACCAGACTTCGATAACGTGACGCTGTATTTATACCAGAAACAGGATAATACACACGTTTGGCGTCATTGGTGATCAGATTTTATAAAAAACACCTGTCCATATAATTGCATCATCGTCTGGTTGAACTTGAAACAAAACAATGATAATGGCATATATTTTGTCAATCAATTTAAAAGTTGATTTATCGACAGCTGCTCCTTGATCCGTAAAAAGATTAATAATCGCCCATGACTAATCATTTATCAAGATCAATTAATTTAAGATTTTTTGCTACGAGGAGATTTTTTTTGAAAATAACAATTATTTATTTTTTGATGCAATATTTTAAGAGTTCTGCGTTGGATATGGTCGGCTATTATGCATTTGGATATCATTTGACTGTCAATAGCAAAAAATATGAATCTCCGCCGGGAGATTATATCATTATCATGACACGGTGTTATGGACGTAATAATTCACCAATTTTATCATTGTTATTGATTGAGGTTTTATTGCCATGACATGTCTGGACTGCCTTTTATATATGATGTGTTTTCAGAATATATTAAGAATATTCGTTGCCCCAGCAATATTATAATTTTTCTTTTACACTCAAGAGAGAAATAAAAAAGAGACTTAATGTACACGTGTGCCCCAATTAATACTTGAGCAGCTTTGTCGTTTTGTATTGATGTAAATATTATACCCAAGGATCAATACATTTTTGAAATTACTAAAAGTTTGTGAGGTTTTTGTACTGTAAAATATAGCAAATTATATAACATTGTATTACAACAAGACCGTCTCTTATAGCACAAGAAAGAATCTTTGGAATGTTATTTGCAAACATTATTTTCTAATTTTATAAAATATGGGTAATACGAAGACAGATGATGTCTCATTTTAAGCACCTTTTTAACGACACTTTCAATTTTCAGAAATCCAAGCCATAACAAAGATCCCATTGAAGAATTTTAAATTTTAAACCAGTTCAGCCCAGGAGTAAACCGAATCAATTTAATTTCATCGATGTCACAAATACTGACTACGTACCGGGAGTAGCGCCAAGTGGAAATAGAATGCAATTTTTGGATTCGGTTGTTGTAGAAATGATGAAATTGGTTCGCGAACACAATGACACACCAACCAAAACACCAATTCAATATCAATGCGATAGAATGATGCTTCCTTCGAGCAAATAGGCTCACAATTATAACTTATTAATAATGTATATCATAAAAATTCTATCTGCTTAAAATAAAAAGAAATAAAATAAAATAGTGAATTGAAATCAGACATTAGGCTCGAGATATGCATATAGCGGCTGCTATTTTATAGGTGCTATTCATAGGCGCTATTTAATTCGTGTGCTGTGTGTAACACCGAGTAGGAATATCATAGCCTACTATTCTTATGTACATTTGAATGTGAGTACGAGAGAGATGTAGAAAATAACGCACAATATGCATAAATGCATTAAAACGAGATAAATAGCGCCTACGAATAGCAGCTATGAAATAGCAGCCGCTATATCCATAGCTCAAACCTAAAGTCTGATTGAAATTGTCTTTAAATCCTAATGGAGAGAGATGCGATGTGATAAAGCCTCTCCTTAAGTTCTTTTATATTGTTGAAATTTATTCATTTTCAGAGTAATTGTTTTACACATTTTTATAATTAAAATTTAGCGCGTATAAATTTTCATACTACACAGTGTATATGTATAGTATACACAAAGCGCTTTTCGAAATTATATGGTGTATAATTCTAGAAAAACTCATTCGATGTTGTGTATTGATGTAATTCTTTGTGAATGCTTGGTTAAAATATTAAAACAATACTTGAAATGATTTGTTTGAATTCATTTTATTAGTTCTCATCGATTTCACGGAGCAAAACATACACTCTTTGAATTTAAACAAATTGCACGAGTATGCTTAAATTAATGACGTGCATTATTGATGTAAACACATTCCAACGTATTGTTTTTAAATACGAAAGTATATTTCATCAATAAAGAAATTAGCTAGAAGTTTTGTACAGTGTAAATGATAATGGAATCAACAAATTATCTCAAAGTCATTTGTTGTTATACGGTAACGTAAGCAATAATTAAGTCTGTACTTTAATGAAATGCCAGGTTTGGAATGTTATCTTGCCATATGTTCCAAATTCAAATTTTTGCCTATAAAAGATCCACAACAAACCGAAGCTCAATCAATAAATATTTGAATTTTGCATTGTACTGTTAATCTTTTTTTTTAAATTAAAAATGTTGCGACTAATTACATTTGTTTTGTTTGTGACTGCGTTTGTGAACAGTCAAGATCTAAGCGAGCCGGTTGTGACAAAAAGTGGACCAATAAATGGTTTGCTCCAAAGGACAATATGGTATCAAAAACCATTCTACTCTTTTCGAGGAATTCCTTATGCGAAGCCTCCGGTCGGTGAGCTTAGATTCAAGGTAATTCTTCATACGGGAAATATTAATTGAATTCGGAGAAATACCCACGAAAATGTTGTTAGCGTAAATGTATAAATGAAATGTTGTGTATAGGCACCTGTGCCAGTGGAACCATGGTCAGAACCACTCAATGCATTTGATTATGGAAATATGTGCAGTCAACGACTTAGACAATCTCCGCCGTGTAGCGAAGACTGTCTGTTTTTGAACGTTTTCGTTCCAAGCGTCAATCACACGGAAAAGCTGCCAGTTTTATTCTTTATTCACGGTGGACGATTTACGGGTGGAAGTGGCGATGACAGCCGATACGGTCCCGATTTTCAGATTGAACGTGAAATTATTCTTGTAACAGCAAACTATCGAACCGGAATACTGGGATTCATGTCATTGGGAACGCCAGACTATTCTGGTAATATGGGATTGAAAGATCAGCAATTGGCCATGAAATGGATTTATGAAAATATCGAAGCTTTTGGCGGCGATAAAAATCGAATTACTATAGGTGGCATGAGCTCGGGTGAGTCTTTTTTATATGGCAAAAAGGTGGATTTTAAAGTTTTTTGTAATATTTTCCAATTTCAAGGCTCACAGTCTGTTGGTTTGCATCAAATTAACAAGAAATCATCAAAATACTATAATCAAATTTTGAGCATAAGCGGAACACCAAATAGTATTGGAGATTATCAAAAGGGTGATCATCAATGTTTGATGGAGATTTTTTACAATAAATTCCATCCGGGAAGACCGAATTTACCTAAGCTGATTAAATTTCTCAAGAAAGTCGATGTTAATGAAATCACCAAATTCACAGCGGAAACTGTTGATGAACATCTATTACCTTGGGCTCCAATCGTTGAAAGTAAATATTTTCCCATTTGATAGCTCACATTTTATTTGAATTCAACGTTTCTTTTATTTCCAGAGTCAAATGCAAAGCAACAATTCATTTTCAATGAACCTCTGTTCGCACTTCAAAAATACAAAAAAATCAAAAAGCCAGCTTATTTCACCATCACAAAATATGTGGGTATTCAACGTTTTATTCGGCAATTTCATTTATTTCGTTTATTTTGGTCCATCGTTAGGAACAAATGATGAAAGATGAGGAAGCCAATTATAGTGATTCAAATGTGGTCAACGCATATTTGAAGGATTTTAATATTGATTTTCCAGTTTTTGGATACAACAATATCATCGCGAAGAAAGTGAGTGAAGAGTGTTTGTAAGAAAGAAACAAAAATCAAGATATCAATATCCCATTTACAGCCAAAGTATCTTAAAAACTTATTGCAACGAATTCGTGACTTTTATTTTGGCGATTACACCGAAAGTAGCCCCCATCAACGTTCCCTACACCGTATTATACTAGATTCTGATCTTTACTGGACTTATTTCATCGAAAAATGGATAGAGCATCATGTTGCTATTTCCAAGGCAGACACATTTTACCATCAGTATGTACCCTTATCTGTGGGAGTGGACACAATACTAATGACAATGATTTCCTAAGTTTCGTATTTATTGACAATGAAACATATTTTTTTTTAGATTTTCAGTACAAACGATGATAAATATTTATAACACAAATTATGGAGGAGCTGGTCATGGAGACGAACAATGTTACCTATTTAGATGTCGCCGATATAATTCTATATATCCGCAATTCAAAGAATATAATGGACGAGATCCGGAATGCACAAAAATTTTCACAGCAATCAACAATTTGCAAACATTATTTTCCAATTTTATAAAATATGGGTAATACGAAGACAGATGATCTCATTTCAAGCAGCTTTTTAACGACACTTTCAATTTTCAGAAATCCAAGCCATAACAAAGATCCCATTGAAGAATTTAAACCAGTTCAGCCCAAGGGTAAACCGAATCAATTTAATTTCATCGATGTCACAAATACTGACTACGTACCGGGAGTAGCGCCAAGTGGAAATAGAACGCAATTTTTGGATTCGGTTGTTGAAGAAATGATGAAATTGGTTCGCGAACACAATGATACACCAACCAAAACACCAATTCAATATCAATGCGATGCAATGAAGGGAGCAACTACGAGCAAGCCGGCTACCAAATAATTGTTCGATGATGAAATCATATAACTGATGATTTGTATCAAAAAGCAACTCGATGTCAACAATATATTTTTTTTTCAAATGTTGAATAAGAAGATAAAAAACAATTTTTTTTATACTTGCTCAAAGTTCAAAGATTTTAATTGGCAATCGTACACATTTATTCAATTCATTAGACTTTTAAAACACGTTTCAAATCAATTATAAAAATATATAAAACGAATAAAAGATTTTGCTCCAGCAAATAAGTTTTATACATGTTCACTAGAGGTCGTGCTATACCATGTGGAAGTTGTGTACAAACATTTGGACCAATCACAAAACACCACGGCTGCTTGACAGCTCACCAGCACTTGTGAATAGTCTATTGACTACAAAAACTGTTCATTTATCAGTCGGCATTTAGCGTAAACACATCATAATTTATATTATTCTAGTAATTTCGTTGTGAAATTTTATTTAGACGGGTAAATATTGCAAATCATTTTCAAATCAATGGAAAACGTTGTATTCTATTAAAGATTTTCTTTGAAAAAAAAACGCTGTTGCTATGAGTGTAATGGAATAGATTTTTTTGCCTTTTTTGAAAACAGATATTATATTGTTAATATACGTGGGCTGGTTCCAGCAACAACATGAATAACGTCTACGTGTTTTTCTTACGTGAGTGCCATTTTAAGAGCATCTTCTTTGTCGAGAAGCCAACGAATTTCACAATTTCTTTGTTTCAATTTCAGTTTGTGTTTTGGTGCCCACGTTTGCCTTCTACGATAAAGGCGACGTTGTCGAACTTACACCGTCCAATTTCGATCGATTAGTTATTCAAAGTGATGAAATTTGGGTAGTTGAGGTAAATACATTAAAGAAATGTGAATAATTTCAGCAATTTTAAAACGAAATTTTTCGCTCGTTTAGTTCTATGCTCCATGGTGTGGACATTGTCAACAACTTGTACCAGAATATACGAAAGTTGCCAGCGCTTTAAAAGGTATCGCCAAGGTTGGTGCAGTAAATGCCGACGAACACAAATCACTTGGAGGACAATATGGAGTACAAGGTATGTTGATCGACCAAGAGGTAGACATTTCGTTATCGATTGCAATTGTATGACGTAATTAAATACGTGGCTTTTGTTTACATAAGGTTTCCCAACAATCAAGATATTCGGTGCCAACAAACGCACCCCAACTGATTACAATCAACAGAGAACCGCACAAGCTATTGCCGACGCTGCACTGGCTGAAGCCAAGAAGAAGGTGTCGGAGAAATTGGGAGGTCGCGGTAGTGGTGGTAGCAGTGGAAGCGGTGGTAGCAGCGATGTTATTGAATTGACCGATTCAAACTTTGATAAATTGGTTCTTCAAAGCGATGATGTTTGGCTTGTCGAGGTATTAAATCGTCTTGATCTTTCGTCAATACATTTGATTCAATTTTTTTGATTTTCATTCAAGAAACCATTTATTGAATGTAACACTTATTTTTTTCCCATTTATTAAATAGTTCTTTGCTCCATGGTGTGGTCATTGCAAAAATTTGGCACCAGAATGGGCGAAAGCTGCAAAAGAACTTAAAGGAAAAGTCAAATTGGGTGCATTGGATGCAACAGTTCATCAAGCCAAAGCTCAAGAATACAGTGTACAAGGGTATCCAACAATTAAATTCTTCCCGGGTGGCGTAAAATCACGAAGTGATGCTGCAAACTACGACGGTGGCCGAACTTCTGGCGACATTGTCAACTGGGCATTGGACAAATACACAGAAAGGTAAATTTATCTAGTCTAAACTGAACGAACTGCATTCATTTTTTAATCACATCGTTTCTTGTCGTACAACAGCATTCCAGCTCCAGAGGTCTATGAATTGACATCAGAAGAAGTATCCAAAAAGGCATGTGAAAATAAAGCCTTGTGTGTCGTATCGGTGTTGCCTCACATTCTAGACTGCGACTCAAAATGCCGTAACGATTACATAAAAATTTTGAAAAATTCAGCCGAAAAGTTCAAGAAACAATCATGGGGTTGGCTCTGGACCGAGGGTGGAAAACAACAAAATGTCGAAGATGCTCTTGAAATTGGCGGTTTCGGATATCCAGCAATGGCAGCTGTTAACTACAAAAAACTAAAGTACACATCATTGCGTGGTTCATTCTCAGCCGAAGGTATCTATGAATTCTTGCGTGATATCTCATTCGGGCGTGGTCAGACGGCTCCTGTGCGCGGTGCAGCCATTCCTAAAATAAATAACGTCGAGCCATGGGACGGCAAAGACGGTCAACTGCCAGAAGAAGAAGACATCGATTTGTCTGATGTTGTTCTCGATGACAAAGACGAATTGTAAATTTTACGTGTAGCATATATATTAGGCACAAAAACAAAAAACTAAATCGGGTCTTCGAAGTATAGAAATTAAAAAAAAAATAAATAAATTGTGTGCGTTTTTGTTCACATCGATTCCGCTCTCAACAACTTGCAACAATGTCAGCTTAACTATAAAAAAGAAAACGTGTAACCAAAACTGTGAAATATATCCACAATTTAACATTTTACTTAATCTTATGATTAGGAACCAAGTGTAAGAATAATAACAAAAAAAGTCATCATTTACAATTTAAAAGAATGGAAAAACTGATAGTAGATTAAATGTACGTAAGATAAAACTTTCAAACAATAAAATTATCTCAATGTTTTTTCGTATAAATTTTGGGCTGTTTTTGTTTTCGAAAAAGAAAAACGATATTTTTTTATTAAATTATATCTCATTTTATTACATCAAATTAAAATTCCAATTGAAAAAAAATGGTCGCTACAAAATAAATGCATCGAAAAAAATTCGGTGTTTGTTTTTGTATTAAAAAAATGGTCATTTTTTTTTAAGAAATACTTCTGGGTGAGAATGTAAAAAGTTGAAATTTCTCAGTCTTAAATAAGTCTATATACTAAATTAACTGCGCAAAAGACTAATCCAAAGCATAAAAAATTGGATTTCATGTATGGCCGAAAAGGTGGTGTTTTCTTAACAATTGTTTTGTAAAAATAAATGCATGCGATGATACATTCGGTTAGGCAACTTAGAGTTACGAGTTCTGAATTGTTTTCTTTTTTCTTCGAATCATAAATCGACGTGAATTCGATCAGGTCATAATTTAAAATTTTATGTATTGATGATTACACTTGGTGTGGTTGATCGCGAACTATAATTGCCGGGTTTTTCAAAATCGCCGGATCGCGTGGGTGTGTTTGCGCTGGCCGTTGTTGATGCTGCATCCATAATATCGTAGTTTCGTTCCTCTTTACAGATCAATGGATAACAAATAATACCATAATATCCACCCATACCAACCACAATGATTAGCATAATGATCGTAATTAGCCCCCATGCTGACAAACCACTGCCAGTTGTTCGCGGATTAATTTTATGTGCTGAACCACTTTGTAATTGATCAATTGGATTATTAGGTGAGATTCTCCTATTTGAAATTGGATAGTGTTCGTATTGTTGACCGTATACCAAACGACCAGTCGGTTGCTGTTGATACGACGAGAGCCGTGGATACACACCGCATTCTACATAGCTTGCAACTAAAATAGATAACACATCAATCAGAATTAGAATCAATTAGTGTGCACTCAATATGGGCACAACAAGTTACGATGTGAGATATGCACTGATTTCGTTTATAAATGAACTCACCAAACAGAACTACCACGAAATATGCAACCGAATATTTCAACATGATTAATATGTAGTTGTGACACAGTTACGAAAACAAAAAAAAAACCCGAAGAAGAAAAAATAAGGTGTGGAAACGGTGCACTAATTTTAAAATTATATATGCATTGAACGAAGGATGGTTACGAAATGACCTCAAATTTACAAAATTATATTAAAATAAAGCGAAAAGAATGAATGTGAATTTGGTGCAATTTGGATGAATGAAGTGCATCGACTGAAGTTATGAGTATTGTATGTTTAAACAATTTTACCAACTGCACGACAATAAAATGCCCAACTCAATGAAAACAAACCGAATACTTGCGATGCACATAGATACATTGCCGAAAATCGAGTTTTAGTACAATCCAAACAGGATTGCACAATGATTGCAGTTTGAATTTACGCTCTTTTTTGTACGTTTTCTCTTGAGATACTTTTTAAGTCGAATAGTTGAATTTGTAAACGAACGTTTTGCCTTGAAATGGATCTTTTTTGAATAAAATTTATCAAACCTTTTATTCATACACATACACATATGCATAAACACAAATACAATTAAAAAAAATACACTCATTTCACCGCTACTATCAACAGATGTCACTGGTCGTGTGAAAATTAGAACATGCCTGTAATATGTGCATAGCGCCAATGTGATAGATGACTTGATGACGGAATAAGACAAACTAAATTTGACATGTTTTAGAGTTCAAGGTGTCGAATATAAAATCGGATTTATTTCTTTTGTTGATATTTTCTCTGATTCTTTTGTTTTGAAGACGAAATTTGACAAAACGAATCGTATTTTTTTCAACGTTGGGCCAGCATGAAAAAGGAGTGTGCACTTGTATTGGCCGGCAATTAAATTCAGTGAAGAAATTATGTAAAATCTTTGAGAGATTGTATATTCATAGTATTGTCTGTGAATGATATGAATTCATGCAAATCTGTGCGCAAAAAAAGGGGGCAGACACGTAATCGAAAAATTCATTCTATCCGTGTGCAATGCTCACGATGACAGAACCCATATAATTTATTATTTTCTTTTTGTTACGACCTTGTTTGAGTTCTGTTTTGTTTTTTCTTTGTTGTTTATTTCTTACAAACATACATAAACACGCACACAAACACGCCCAGTGTGTGTAATTTCTCTGTTCATTCGATATTCAATTAAAATCGATAGAAAGAACAACAAAAGAGCTCCAACGCCACAGTAAACTGAATGCACTCGAAAATATTTGGAGTGCAATTTTTCGAAGTTTTAAATGAGATCATCGGTTAGTTATATGTTGTCGCATGGTTCGGGTGAGCCAAGGTATGAACTATAATTGTAAACCAATTCATGTCACTGTTAAATAAACTAATTCCATTTCGTTTCATGAAAATGAAGTATGTCACATCCAGACTATGAACAACAAGCTCACCATCACTCATGTCTGTTGATTTTAATTCGCGGCATTGGACCGTCAAAGCCACGTTCACTGCAAAAAATATTTGAACGAATCCAACTAGTGAATAATGTCAAAATAAAAGGTATTCACTTATTCTTGTACTTTGGACTTTGTTTTTTTTTTCTTCTTCAACAAAAATGTTCTTCACTTTTTCGGATAGATTCGTCGGGTAGTACGCGAGATATTTGGGTTCGATATGTTCGTGACTATCCCGTGGAGAATAATGAATGGGGTGATTTTCAAACGCATCGACGGCTGCTCGGTTTGATAACGGTGGGAAAGTTTGATTCACAAACAGAATTGAATGAAATGTGTCGCGTTCATGAATCACTCAAAGTAAAATACACCAATACATTGTTCGATTCGCGTTGTGTACTATTTGCATCCGCGCAAAATGCCAAAAATGATGCAAACCCCACCGAAGACAATGAAGATCCAGTGTTATTGAGTACCGGCTTGGATGATTTGCCGGAAAGTGTTAGTGATACAAAATTTAACTCAAAAGACAATGAGAATACTCAACAATCAATAAATGATGATTCATACGATAGTAAAATACTGAAAAATTCATATACAACACCAACAAATTTCAAAAGCAATGTCACCTTTTACGCTGAAAATGGTCAATGCGTTGATCTGGAATCATTCATAACCGATTTCATAAATTCGTTGTTTTGGATATTGGAGAAAAAGCGTTTGGATCGATCGCATGAGAAACTGGATAAAGTGCCATTGTTATTGGCGCCATTCGAGAAAAAAGACTTCATCGGCTTGGACATGGACACACGAAATATGCGAAAGCGTTGTGTTGGCCGTGTAACAAAAAATTTGGCAGATTTAACATTACAAGCCGGCCTTGTGGCCGAAAGTTTAAATCTATTTCATGCGGCTTGTGAAACATTGCGCGCCATAAGCGATTCATTGTGGCTAGGTGCGGCCAATGAAGGTTTATGTGCTGCATCCGCTATTTTACTGTATCCACACGTACGATATACAATGTCATTTCAACGGAATGCTAGTCTGCAAGAGAATTCAGCGCAAAAATTGAGCATAGCACGTTCGACGAGTCAAAGTCAAGAGAATTTATCCGAACAAATACTCAATAAAAAATCAAATTTGGCCATCACCTTGGAAACAGACGCTTCACTAAAAGTTAACAATTTGGCAACGCTCACATCGTCATCGTCAACGTCATCGGCATCATCGGTTACGTCGACGGTTTCCGGTTCATCGACGGGCAGTTCACCATTGTCAACCAATCACACCGTTTCCATTGATAAATTGCAAAGCAATAATAATAATCCATCGAATATTTTGCAGCCAAGTGATTTTGTGGCCAGATATCGTGAAGCGATCATTAACTACAGCAAATATCGACATGCTGGTATTATTGAGACTGAAGCAGCATTAAAAGCGGCCCGAATTTGCATTGAACAAAATCGATATTTGGATGTGGCCGTATTCTTACAAAATGTATTGTACATTAATTTGAATTTGACCGAACAAGAGCGTGTACAACGATTTGAAGTGTTGACCGAACTCTATCAACGTATTGGATTCATGCGAAAAGCAGCATTTTGCCAACGGCTGGCATCATGGAGACATGTTGCGCAGAGCAACACAAATCCCGACTGGAATCGAAGCTATCGGCTTATGTTGGAAAGCTTTCCGGGTCATAAATTGTCGCTAGATCCACTGGAGGTGATTGAAAATAACGCTGGATGGAAGTGTTTACAAATCGATTTATTGCAACAACTTGTTGCCGCCGCACGAAGAATCGGACATTCAGCACTTGCAACACGACACATGACCTTTTTATTACAAACAATGTGGCCGCATTTATCGTCAAATGAACAAAAGGAATACTCATCACAACTTCAGGTGAGTGCAAAGCCCACATTTTTCTCATCAAGCTCTTCAATATAACTTGTTATAACGCATTTCTGTACACAATTTTAGAGCCTGAGTGCACAGTGTGAAGGAGCTCCCGTTCCGCTTGTGTTAGAAGATGGTACCGTCATTCCGCCTGCAAATCTCACCGATTTGCCATTTTGCCAGCAGTTGCGAGTAAAAAATCTACCAGCATATTTGCGTCCGCATAAAATTAGTACAGCCAAAGTTGACACAGGACCATTTCTATTTACGCCCATACATTTCAATTCGATTGACCGTCGATCAAAGAAAAATGACGGCAAAATATGTAAGTGACGAATTGACTTTTCATTTTATTGAAAATAATAAATTAAAATTCATTTATTGCAGCATTCCAATGGGTTCAAAATGAAATGTGTGATGTTTCGGTCACATTGAAAAATCCGCTTCCATTTGAATTGCAAGTGTTCGATATGCGTCTCTTGACAAATGGCATAGTATTCGAATCGCTTCCTGAAACAACCACACTGTCAGCACTTTCAGCATCAACAATCACATTACGAGGTACACCCATTGAGCATGGTTCACTCGAAATACTCGGTTACAGTACGCATACGTTGGGTGTCAAATCGAATTGCCGGTTAAAGCATATGAATCGAGATCGTGATCGTTTATCGCAATTTCCACCATCATTCCACGTAGAAATAATTCCGGCTCTTCCTCGGCTTGAAATAAAGACATCGTGTCTGCCAATGGACACATTGGCATGTATCACACAAACCGACAACATTATCACATCGACCAATATTTCATTGTACTGCGGCGAAACGACTGAATGCACATTAACATTACTAAATTGTAGCAACATAGCAATAGAGCATCTTGAAGAAACAATGCATTCATCTTTGGATGCAAAAACACAAGATTTAGTATTTTCATGGTCATCAAAAGAGATTCAATCACAATTGCCGCTTAAGCCAAATCAATCGCTGAAATTTAAATTGAAAATCGTTGGTTATGCTGATTTTTTGGGACCAATAAATATAGGCAGTACAGTAAATGCACCGTCGCTCATGTCATCATCACAACACAACGGTGGGCAAATAACAACCGATGCCCAATATAACAGTTTGACCGGTGGCATGAGTGCACTTTCGATATCGGGCCATACGAGTTTGCCAAGTCGCATGGGATCACCCATTAATTTGCCAAAAAGAAACGAACTTAATTCAAGCTTCAGATCGAAAACACATTCGGGACATTCATCGCTAGTCACATACAGTCAAGGTGCTTCTGGATCGAATGCACGCCAACTAGAGGCACAATTTCGATTTCGCTATTCGGGCGGCGAAGGATTCGAAAAGGGTCATTGCCGTAACTGTGCCGTACTGTTTAATTTGGAATTTTTGTCTAGTGTTCAAATTACCAACTGGGACGTATTGCCGGCTGAAACGTAAATGTTTTATTTTTTCTTCTTTTTCGTGGTTTCGTCCAATTAAGTTTTATCACATTTTCCGCACAGATCGTCACAATTCTATTTAGTTTTGGATGTGAATAATTTGACGGCTCAAGAAATGATGCTTAACTATACGACGAATAAAAATATCGTTATTGAAGCACGAGAGAGTTGTCGTGTACCTGTCCCCGTTGAACGATGTCCACTATTTAGGCGCGATCAACATCTAGAAAATGATAACGATCAAACAAGTGCGTACTTTTCTCATTATACATTGACCATTTTTTTCATTCTTCTCGACATGTGGAACAAAATTAATTTAAAAACTTTGTGTCTGTAGATTTTCATGTGTATAAAAGCGATGCGGACCTTATGCAACAATTCTGTTCGAAACACATATCTGATTCAGTGCAATTGAACTGGTCACTTCTTGGAACGGAAATTATGGGCACAGCATCGCTGCGTGGTATCACATTATCATCGGCCATGTTAAGCATCATCACTGTTGCCCCGCTTAAATGGAGTAAGTACACAATGTTCTAATATTCGACACGCGACTCATTCACTAAATCGATCTTTATAATTTGCAGATGTTACAATAAATGGTAAGGAAATGCCAGCAATATCAGAAATCTCATGTGCAACCGGCCAAAGCATTCCGCTTCATATCGATATAGAGAATCAATCGCTGACCGAGCTAACGGATTTGACGTTATCCATACAATTCTACCAAGATTACCAGAATGGCACGTCAAAATATCAACTGGAAACTAGAGTCGCATTATCTGGACCGAATAAGTAAGTGCCGTTGACTTTCTGTCTACTTATGTCTTTATTTTGGTAAATTTTTTGCTATTTTCTAACGAATTCAAAATATTCATTCCAGTATTCATATCAAATCGTTAAAAGTCAATGAGAAAGTGTCGCATGAATGTTCGGCAATTTTCTTTACGGCTGGCCGTTTTAAAACAAACATTGAATGCAGTCATGTGGGTTCGATGACAACTGACGAACATCATTCAATGAATGCACTAGCCCAAACGTATGCCTTAAATATGGATGGTGAACAAATTGACTCACAGGTGTGGCGATACATTCCAGCGCCTGAAATCACCGTGATCGAACACACTTAAAATGCAATATGCACTTTTTGATATGCACACAATCCACAAAACTCAAGAAGAGAGATCGAATTGAACAAAATCGAATACATAGAAAGAGATCTAGACAAATTTAATATGTTCTAAAAACACAAAATAAAATGAGATTGATGTACTGAGGAAGAGCATCTCTCTCAAAATAAATGTTTCATATTCAATAATAATGTACATAATTATATATGTGTCACATCATTATATTATTATTAATATCAGTTCGTTTTTATTTATGAATTATAATAAAATTATTATTATTATTAGCAATAATTCAATGGAGCACAGCATTCCGAAAGGAAACAAAATAAATTCTCTACATATGTTATTTGACTTTTTACGATTTTTTACTTTTTCGTACACCTGTGGCGAGATTATTACGAGGGGAAGTTGTCGACAGCTCCTCTCAATCGATTTAGAATCTAACGTAGAATTGTAATGCCATTTAATTTACGAATTTGGTATTTGCATTAAATAACATTTCTCGATAGTTCTTTGAAATCATGAGATTATTTCAGTGTGTCCATAATATATAGAAATATCACTAAATAGTGTACCTATCGACACACAATATATGGAAGATATTTCCGCACGGCACCGTATCACACGATCGAAGTGAGTATGGATGGAAAGCATGGTGATGCATACACATGTCGATAGGCACACTATTTAGTGCTATTTCTATATATTATGGACCCACTGGATTGATCAAAATTGATACAACCATGTCGACGATACATACCAGTGCTGAAAACTTATACCAGTAGATTTCATATTTACGATGGAAAATTCGAATTCCAACCATTGCAGCTAGAAACTAAGCAGTAGATCGTATAAACTTGACTTTTCTCCTTGGACTTCGATTCAAATAATCCGATTTTACTCCTTTATATTTTTCAATCAGTTTTGAATTGGACGACACTCACAAAACAAACATTTTTGTTTTGAATTGGACGACACTCACAATAGAACTGAATCGAAATGCTTCTTGTTTTGCGCTTAGAATCTCTAAGTTTATGCTTATAACAAAATTATTGATTTCAATTTCTCCACGTATGCGAATTGCACCACGTGTTAACAGAAAACAGAGTAAAAGATACCATTTTCACTTCGTGAACCATAACATCCGTCAATATGAAGGTCTGAGTTTCTCAATTATTTCTCTAAGCTTAACTTTATTTCAATAAGTTTTTTTTTGCAATTTAATTACCCTTGTAATGTTTTTGACGGAAAAGAAGACATCTGCAACATAAACACAGCGAAATAAAACAAAACCAAAAGATAATCATTGAGAAAGATTCTTTTCATAAAAACTTTACTTTGATTGATTATAAGTTCCACGTCCGCATTTTTAAGCATACACCGCAATTTTCATAATATATTTTAAAAATGTCTGTGCGCTCATTCGTAACTGACGAATCGTAAGACAACATATTTCGGGTCCCTCTTATGAACAACCATTGAGCTCCTAAAAATGTTCAATATTTTCACTATTTTAGGATAGTCTATTCTTGATCTTAACCCGAATGCAAACAATCAATAACCATCCAAAATGAACATGTTCAAACACCGACGCGATTATATTTTTCTTAATTATTTTGTTTATCTCATCACTTGGCATCCTTTTAAACTTCGTTCAGTGTAGCAGTAGTGGTACCCTTGCTTAACGATGTCTCATTAGGGCTTTTCACCACAAGCCATAATTTCACTATAGATTTTCCCTCAAAATGTCATCTTTGATTTGAATTCTACAATGGTAGAAGCGAGGATATAACGAACCAATGATGTTTATCATGGAGTCATAAAAGATCATTGAATTTCAGGTATCTTTTTACATGTTTTTTACCTGTTCTACTAAATTCCCAAATTACTCATTTGCAACTCACCATTTTAAGAAAAATTAGTAATTAGCTAATTACTAACTACTTAGGATCATTTGGTTCAGCACGGGTATTTAAATGCTCAGATCAAGCATTGTCAACTCATTCTTTACCAAATTCTCGACAAGGAAACATCTTCAATAACTCCAAGTGGTTAACAGTTTAAATTTTGGTTACGATTATCAGAAATCCATAGTTCAGTTGCAACCGTTCAATATTCAAGAGATATATTATACAATATTATCGAAAAAAAAGTGTAATAACAATTGTTGAAAAAAAATATCATATTCGTTCGTCACTTTCTACATAATTTTGGAAAATTTCTTTTATTTGAAAACAACATTCAAAAAGAAACGAAGTAAAAATGGCTAATAAAATTGAAATGAGTTTGGACGACATCATTAAAACTGAAAAAATCGGATTTCGCCGCGGTGGTGCCAAAAAACAAGTGAACGGTGCTGGTGGATATCGCCGCAAAGTCGATTATAAGCCGAAATTTCATGGAACTGCCAATCGTCAAATTGGCAAAGTCAAAAATGGTCCAAACGGTGCATGGAAGCAGGGCATGTTCAAAGGCGGCAAACAAACCTTAACACGTGGCGCAGGGGATGGTTTTATCAATAGTGGTCCGGCCAAGTTATTGGTTTCGAATTTGGACTTCAATGTCACCGAATCGGAACTTCACGAATTGTTTGTCGACTTCGGACCGTTGATAAGCGCATCAGTTCAATATGATCGTCATGGTAGTTCTCTAGGAACGGCTGACATTTTATTCGAACGACGAACTGATGCCATTAAGGCTTTGAAGCAATACAACGGCGTCCCACTTGATGGCCAACCGATGCATATTCGGCTAGCAACATCGGAGGCACCGCAAGTTGTTATGCGTAATCAACGACCGGCATTCGTTCCCAAAAGAATTCACCAAGGTCGCCATCAACATAAACCAGAAGCTCGAAAAGGCGGTAAAGTTGGTGGAAATCGTGCCAAACCAAAACCAGTCTCAGCCGAAGACCTAGATGCCGAACTAGATGCTTATATCAGCGAGATGAAGCAGTAAAACATCAATGAACACCATCACCTCTTATCATAATTGTAAACGTTTTTTTGTTGTAAAATTGATTTTTCTTTGAATGTATCTCTCATAATAAAAGGATAATTAAAACAATAAATGTTTAAAAAATGAATGAGTATTTTAAATATTTCTGCAAATCTACTTTACAGGAAAATCATATATATCCTTTGTTACATACACAGATTGTTCCATCTTTTTATGATGAACACATTTCGGGAAAATTCTGAACAATAAATCAAAATTCTTTGTAATTTAACATGAATATAATCCCGCCTCGGTCTGTTTGTTCATAAATATCCCTAGGTGGCAATCCGATTTACTCAAATTGGCAACATATTTAAAAAGGAAATCGTTGACAGCTTTGTTCCCCACTTAGTCAAATGATAAATGGTATAAATAGTTAATCGTCAAAATTTGCATAGTAATCAAATTCTCTTTTATTAAATTATGGAAAATGGCATTTATATTTTGGATTTGAAAATATCACGGAAATGTCAGTCAAGCGAGAAAAAAAACTTTTTGTATCCAATTGTATTTTTATTTACTGTGCGCATGCATTGTAGTCTTACTTCCATTCAATCTATATTTGGCTGTGCTTGCATTAAAATGCATTCGAAATTTATAAGAATTTTGGTGTTTTTCGGTTGCTTAACAATCATTTCATCGCAGTTATTTTGTTCAGATTTGCTGAAGCGAAACCATACAAAATTTCATCCCGTACGCCACTGTCAACGTTCGAATAAGACTCGAATTGCTGCCAAAAATGTGGCCAATCTCAATAAGTGTATACAATTCGCTGAACATAATCAAGCGTTGGCATTCAATTTTGGACACGGTAAACGACCACGGAAGAAGGGCGACCAAGTTGGCGATTTACTGAATTTATTCGATGTAAAGCGGGCGAAAGAAGAGAATAAGACAAAAATTGAAAAAGATTTGCATGCATTGGAAGAAAATACAGACCCATATTTCGATTGCGAAGTATTAAGTTGCCCAGAGGTTGGAAACATGTCATCACTGATTAATGATACACGATTTGATTATTATACGCTATATGGTTACGGTAATTGAACATCTTTTATGTATAATATTGAAAATAATGAGCGCAAAAAAATCAATTCATTTGGAATCGCAGATTGGTAAACAAATTACAATTTTTTTTGAAATATTTTCAATGAGAAAATGAAAGTGTCATCAAGTTTTTAACCACAGAGATGAATAATTTTTCGAAATTAATTTTTGCAGCACCGGAAAACTCGACTTGTTTCCCATCGGTTGGATTGTTTATGTATTATTATGACGAGCGAATGAATTACACTGAGGCGACCAGTACATGTGAAGGTCATCGAGGCTATTTGGCACGAATTGTAAGTGACATTCGAACCAATTTCATATCATTCATGATACAGCAACAGATATTCGATATAAACAAAGCGACAGTTGGAATTCTGCAAAGTACATTTAATGAAAGTGTTAATGTTCCATTGGAAATTCCAATAAAACACGCTTTTATTGGCTTGAAAGAGCTTCGACGCAAGGGAAATTTCGTTGACTCACTTGACATTCCATTGAAGTGCTTTCTTTATAGGGCATGGGCTCCAAAGTATCCAAGGTAAGAATTAAACATATAAATTACAACTTTCCATTGTTTAATACTTATTAGTTCATCATCGTAAAAAAAATCGCTTCATGCATTTTTAGTGAAGAGTCGCGTCCGGGATGTGTTGCAATCACAGCTTCTCGGTCATGGAAAATGTTTGATTGTCGAAAACGGGCACCATTCATCTGTGAATTGAAACCGACCAAACCGCGTCGAATAAATCGCCGAAAATTCAATCGACGTTGTTCATTGAAAAGATCAAATAATTAACGATAACTTTCAAACGATGTTTTTACAACAAAATTTGAATAAAAAAAGACCTCTAGATGACAGCACTGTATGCGTGTTTTTCTTTCATTGTATGCCAATTTGATCATATGTGTTATTTGACATCAGCAAAATTACAAATCGTTTTGACATTACGTCTCTTCATCGTCTAAACAAACAAAAAATCCAAAATTTAGTTTAATTAAACAAATTCAGCGAGTATAAATAGAGTAAAAGATGACGACGATAAATCTGAAAGATGATTTGGACGAGTATCTATTGCTGCAAAGCGATCAGAAGAAAAACTTTAAAATCGACCTAAAAATGCCAACACTCAAAGTTCCGGAGATAAAAAATTTGTTCGGTCAAAGCCAGCCGCCAGAAGCAAATGGATGGTTACAGGACACCAAAGACAGCTGCTGTCCAAAAATGGTGAGAGCATAATCGATTAAAATATGAATTGAATATTGTTTCAATAAAAAATTAATTTTCTAAAATTACATTTCAGTCGAGACTACAGCGTATCATTGGATTTTTCATCTGCTTAGGATTGGGAATATTTTGTATGTCTGTTTCAACACTGTATATTCCAGTTTTAATACTCAAAGCCAGAAAATTTGCCCTACTGTTCTCGTTGGGCAGTTTGTTTTTCATTATCAGGTAAATATCACACAAATATGCAAAAAAAGAGAGAAAATACTTGAATGTTTTCAATTTTAGCTTCTGTTTTCTGAGTGGTTTCATGGTGTTCTTCAGACAAGCATTCTCAAAGTCAAGATTGGCCCTATCTGGAACATATGCTGGCAGTTTAATTTTCACATTATATTTTGCAATGTTCATGCAAAGCACCATTCTTACCGTACTAACCGCTGTGATTCAAGTGATTTCATTATTTTTCATGATATTGGCCGAAGTGCCCGGTGGGTCGAGTGGCCTACGTTTCTTCACATCAATGTTTCGGCGATCCGTATCAAGCTCATTACCTGTATAAATCTATGCTAATATTCAATTCAGACTGAAAGCAATTCATAAAATTATATAATCAATAGCAAAGTAAGCACATATTTATAGAAATAAAAAACAATTTTATTTTAATCTTGATTTTTTCTTTCATTTCTTTTGTTTTTCTTTTGATTTTTGAACGCTTATTGGCAGTTTGACATAAGAATCATGTTATTTAATTGGCAACAAATGGTGTATCAGTGGTGGCTGCAGCCACTTTTTGCTCTTGTGTTTTGTTCCAGGCATAGTCAAACGGATAGCTAATTGGTTTGACTTGCTCGGGCATTTCATCGATGTTTTGTGCCGTGGCCAATAGTTCGGTGGGTCCCTTGGTATGGATGCGTTCAAGCATTTGTGCATTGTGCACGGTCGAATCAAGGCCAGTTATATGTGAAAAGAGTTCTTCTTTTGTCTTGACACCAGTAACTCCTTTGCGTGTGAAAAATGTTGAAATATTATAACAATCGCGCATTAAAAATTCCAATGCACTTGGATGTCCCGGTTCAACAGCTTGAGCAACGTCAATCAACCAACATTTTTCGTCATGCCATAAAATGTTGTATTCACTTAAATCAGCGTGCACCAAATTGGCTTCGTTGTACAAACGTACCATAATGTCGACAACTTCTTCATATGCCAAAATCAGTTCGGCGGCCGATAGAATTGCGTTCTTAAGCTTTGGTGCCGCAATATTGTTCGAACCAATGAATGACATTAGCAACAGATTCTTCTTCAATGCAATGACTTCGGGGCAATTGATACCGATTTTTTGCATTCGCATCAGATTATGCATTTCCTTTTCGGCCCACATCTGAATCACGGTACGATTGTTTTGTTTGCTAAATCGATCCTTGAAACGATAATCGTCCTTGATATAACGGTCACGTTGTTTGAACTCATTCAATGTAGTCTTGAAGATTTTAATAGCGCATTCGCTGGGCAAAATCAAATCTCCAGTATAGCCCGGGTCGCTGTTGGCATGCAAAATGACGGCTTCTTTGCCCGTTGAAATGATACCGTTAACTTGTTCCAAAATTTGATTGTTGATCAATTTGTACAAACGCAATCGAGTCGGTTCATCGATACCCATTTCGGCAGTCACTTTGTTTTCACGACGATCTTGAGCTTTGTTTGTTTTCTTGCTCTTCTGCGAATACGATTTCAGTTGATTGAACACTTGATTGGAGAGTTTCATGTCAAAGCCAGCCGCATCGCCGGTGGTGAATTCCGTTGGAAATGACATCAACCGTTGAGCATTTCGTACGCCACACACTTGTGCATCATGTTTCGATATAATAACACCGTCTTGATCATGACCCAAACCTTTTTTATTCAAACCACGAATGAGTTTTTCATTTGCCTCGAAGCGATCCCAATTCTTTGATTGTTCGCCATCATCATCATCGTCGTCATCTGAATTGGATGCTGCATCGGTTGGATGTTGTCGCCGGAAATTCGTAAACGATATCGAAACTTTTGAATTTTTGTTTGTATGCTTTTCAATGCGATTCACTTCGTCATCATGCTCTTTATCGAATGCAGCCTGCATCATTTCGGCCAAAATTCGATCCGAATCACAAAAATCAACCGATTCACTTAATTCACTGTCGTTTCGAATGAAATTCAACACATCTTCCGGAATATCAATCAACTGATTTTGACGACCAATCGATGAATACTTTGTATCACTCGTTCCTTCCACCACTGCCTTGGTTGGAGCCACTGAATCATTCTGCAATTGTGATGCAAACGTTTGTGGTGCATCGATAAACGGAGCAGCAACATCTTTCAAATGATCCTCGTACTTTTTATTCTCTTTGTCTTGCAAACCGCGTGCATATTCTTCTGACATAATCTCTTGTAAATTACAAGTTTCAACTGGTTCGACTTTTTTCCACGCGGATGCCATTTTTGTTTGTTTACTTGAATAAATTACGCTTAACAAAATTACACTAGATAACCTATTAAAGTTATTGAATTAGACTCTTTTTTTAGATTTATAAATAAATGTGATTTCAACTAACTTAAAACGCTAGTATCACAACACTTGAGGTTTAATTCCTTTTGCTCTCTGGTGGAAATTCACAAAAAAGAAATTTTAGTGAATTGTCACGATTGAACTTCAAACTATATTAACTAAAATCGATGAATGTTCAAAGTATTATATATTTCAGATGCACTTTATAGCTGTTGGCTGAGCAATGTGAAAATTTTATTTACAAAAGAACGACGTACTATGATGAAATTCGGGGTCGTTTCGTTTTATGATGAAATTTATATAGATACTGTATGATGATTAATCAAGTTTTTTCTCTCTCTAGTCGCACACCACCAGTCTCTATTTGCGTGTATTTTTTTTGTTTTCTTTGTGACATGTTCAAACGTGATTTCTACGTCTGTAACACCGAGAACACATTTGACAATATGAGAAGTGGAAACGAATACGTCCATGGATAATTCAATTTTTGGTAAAAAAACGTTCTTTCTTTCATTTTTTTTTGGGAAACAATAATGTTCGAAATAAATTCCATAGGAAAAAATCGATTTAAATACTTTTTTTATTCATTTTTTAAAATGCAAACAAAAAAATCCATTTTTCCACACAAAACCATGCATGTCGTTTTTGTGTGAGTGTGTCAATGTGAAGTGTCAAATCCAACAAGCTTATCAGATTGTCGAGAAATGTCAAATTAGACTGTTCAACTGTCATTCGCCCTGTCGAATGCTCAACTTTATAAATAACATCTGTTCGACTATTTTCTTGTTGTCTCAAATGAAATCGTCCAAATTGCATGCCTGTTTTTAAATGACCATTATATTTTTAACTAATTTTAAATTTTATACAGCATAAATTAAAGCAACTAAAACAGCTAAATATCAAATACAATTAAAATCAATTTCAGTGTAGTTTGAGTTAGATGCATAGTTCCATTGGTGGTGGTTTGGTGGGAATTCTTTTTATATCAAACGAAGTACTATTGAAAGCTTCAATTTCTTCTTGACTTAATGAGTCCATTGGTGTGTAGAGAGTTTTCGATTGTTGAATGACTGGTGCTGGAGCGCCAAAAGGATTTTGCTGCCCTTGAGGTTGTGTCTGTGCCCCGAACAACGGTTGCGTTGATGGTTTTTGTTCTTGTGCATTTTGGAAGAATTGGTTTCCACCTCCACCGAATGGTTGAGCCTGTGGTTGAGCAGCGTATGAATTTGCGCCGAAAATGCTCTGCTGCTGTTGTTGTAAAGATTGAGCGGATGCTTGAGCAGTGGGCGGTGCATTCATTTGGTTTGTATTTGCTTGACTCATGCCACCATTAAATAATGATTGACCCACATTTGCATTTTGACCAAAAGCACTAGAATTTCCACCGAATGTATTGTTTGTACTTTGAAACGGTGACGCTTGTTGTGGTTGTTGTTGCATTTGAGATTGGCTGAAAATATTTGTGGTGGCTGATTGAGCAACTGCAGCAAATGGATTATCAGATTGCATGGTTTGTTGTTGGCCACCACTACCACCAAAAAGTGATGTCGTTTGATTCTGTGCTGTGTTACCAAATAGGTTTGTTTGTTGTGGTGCTGGTGCTCCAAAAGCTGGTGCTGTGTTTGCATTTTGTCCAAAAATGTTACCAGTATTTTGGGGTTGACCGAGCGATGCCTGTCCAAATAAACCAGGTTGTTTAACTTGATTTCCGAAATTGGCACCGCCACCAAAAACTGGATTTGCTTGAGCACCGAATAGTCCGCCAGTCGATGTCTGTTGATTCGTTGAAGCTAATCCAAATGGTGAAGCGTTGGGATTTTGCTGACCAAATGGAGCAGGCGCTGCGCTACTGCCAAACAATGATGTCGACTGATTAGCACCAGCGTTAGTAGCAAATGTTGTTGATTGTGCATTGTTAGTATTGAAGGATGATCCACCAAATAGAGAGCCGCCACTCGTCGCACCACCCATCGAAGTCGCACTATTTCCTCCAAAGAGATTCATCGAATTTGTAGTCGTTGACGAACCACCGAACAGATTTGTAGTTTGCGGTTGGGCACTGCCAAATCCGGCCGCATTTCTAGCAAATGGATTCGAGCTTGTTGCGGTGGATGACCCGAATAAGTTATTGGTAGGTGCAGCGTTGCCACCACTACTACCAAAGATACCACCACCCGAATTCATCGTATTTGAAGCCACCCCGAAGGGATTTGCTGTATTAGTTTGATTTTGTGCTGCAGGTGTAGTGGTGCAAGTGCTATTATATAGATTTGTAACCATTCCAACAACATCCTCCGTCGGATTCGTTAACATATTCATTTTATTTTTGGCATCCAGAATATTTTGTGTAAATTGATTTGTCTGGAAGAAAATGTTTTGCTTTGTGAATCATGTTTATTTGGGAAAACTTTTAATTTTCTTACCACCATTTGAACATTGCCAGTCGCTTTCGCTTCATAACCTATTGTGAAAGAAAAAATGCATTAATTCACAAATTCAACGTCGCAAATTAACATTGAGACACTGCACTTTTGACACCAATTCAATGTTATTATGGCTACGTAATTGAATAATTATGTAAACGTGCCACACTTACATAGATGCCTGATTTCTTCAAATGTTTGATCTTCGATGAAATTTGGTATGCATGGTTTATCACGAAACGGTCCATAGCTTGAAAGTGGCCATTGATTACCTTTGAGAGCACCCTCTGCATCTGTTTTTAGGGTCAATCTTTAGACGAAAAGAACAGTTTAAAAAGAGATAAATCATTACATTATAGACTGATGTCATTTAATTTATTCGTGTTTTACTCACTTGACATTCACGTGCTCGTTGTGACACTTAGTGCCAAAACGGCATGTATTATTTAAAAAATATGAACAAATCACCATTTTTTAGTTATGATTTGGTAAATACAAACGAAAACCCACAAAAACAAATAAATCGCATGTGAACTAGCTGTGATTCTCTCTGGGTGTCAATTTGGTCGCGATATTATTTGTTTGACATTTCAAGTGAAAAACAATTTCATCGAACCAACTTCAATGCAATGGTCGAAATTGTTGGAATGTGTCAATTTATTGAGTAGCCCACTCTGGTGGCCAAACCGATAAGCTTGCTTGATAAGGAAAAAAAACCAGAACAATAAATTTTCTAGGAATTTTTTTTTTCATTAAATGATAAGCAAAATCTTATCGAAATACTGAATATTCTGCAAAATGCGTCACTGAAATAGTAAAGTACAATATTATTGCATTGTTATATCATATCGCTGCTTTTATCATAACTCGTACAAAGTACACAAAATAGCTTTTTTCTCTCTCTTTATCTCTCGTTTATCTCGGCGGTGGTTTTTTCGTTTCAACAAAAAATTTACATAATTTTAATCCAATGAAAAAAAAAAAATGGAATGAAAATTTATTCCATTATCCAATGCACATTTTAATTTGGGCGAAATAATTGAACAAAAAAAATCCAATTCAATGTCATTCACGGGCGACATACGACGTGTTTAAATATATATATTGTAATCCAATGGTAGCGATAGGCAAGAGTGAAAAAAATCGATACACCATTTCAGACGGCCATTTTGTCACGTAAACTACTTGACACAATAAAAAAAAAACTCTTAACAATTTGGTCTTTTTATAAAATTCCCCAAAAAACGATAAGGTTCAATAACAACCGATCGAATAGTTGTTGCATAAGTTTATTTTATAAGTCCTCTTGATAAACGCCATTTGTAAAGCAGAACGAAAGCAAAAAAATAGTAATCCAAAGATCAAGATGAACAATAATATAATTTTTCACTCTTTCTGAGCGCAATATAGAAGTCACTTCTCATGTGAAATGAAATTAGAGATGTTAATCGTTGGAAGTATGTCACGTAAATGAATTCGTTTGTGCCATTTCAATGGCTCGACCATAGTTTAATTTTCATCAACGACGAAGACGAACATTTACACAAACATGCGATCGAAAGCGTACTAGATTTTCTTTTTGTATATGTATTATGCATGGACGCCATGTTGTTTAGCATCAACAATGCATACGTAACCAAGTCGCAGGGTGTTGTTCAGCATTCACTCGATTGTAATTATTTCAATGTTTTAGATGTCTTCTTCCACGAATGTTTGCATTTCTTCAGTGGCCTGAAAAAAAAATCGAAAAAGGTACAAGAACACAAAACCACAAATCTCTTCAATGAACTTTTGCCATGTAATTAGCGAGCAAAATGATTGTAAAATGTAAGAGGTGAAGAACGCCATATTGGTGCTATGTTGTGACGCACCCTGTTGCCCAATTCAATGGTACTACTGTATCAGCATTGCTATGTGTGTATTGTATTCGACTTCGGAATTACTTCGTTTGAGTCCGTCTCCCAGTTGTAGAGTGAAACGCGATGAGCAAACATCGAAGCGATAACGCGTCATAAAATCGACGTTTTTATTGAAATAGAGAAGAAGTAAGCAAAGCAAGAGTAAAGCAACACAAAAAAAAAGAAGAAAAGAACAAGCAAAAATATAATAATAAGAAGAAACAACATACAAGTCAGTTTTGTGGTGTATTAAACTTTGGAATCAAGTGAAATAGAAGCGAACAAGAAAATCAAGAACCAAACAAGAATTAAATTGCCGACACACACACCGTTTAGAAAGAAAGACAGCGAAATTATTTAATTTAGTTATCTTTTTTTTTAGTTGTACAAGTTGCTTGAAGCAGTAACGAAAGAGAATATCTTGAAATTATCAAGCAGAGCAACAATAATCGGCAAATATTGTAGCAGCAACAGCAACAACAACAAAGCGAAAGAAAAAAAATTATTGTGTTATTTAGTGTTTAGAAAAGTTTATTTTTCTGTTTATTTTTTTTTGGTTATGATTTCTTCAAAAGAAAGTTCAAACAACGGCAAAAATTCAATGGTTCTCTGTGTAAAATTTGTGTGATAAATGGACGTTCGAAAATGAATTGTAAGTATCTCAATTGGTGTTGTGTTTGAAATCATGCAAAACGACAAGGAATAAAAAAAAATGTCAAAAGAGAAAAAATCAGCAAGAAAATAAATGAAGAAGACGAAAAAATAAAATTGAATAGAGAAACTTTGTGAATGTCGCGCAGCGATTTAGTTTTGTTTGTTTTCTTTTTGTTTCGAGAGCGAGTTTTTTTTTCTTTCATTTTTGTCAAAGAGAACATAAAAAACAAGGAGTTAGTTTATTCATTCGTTCGTTTTTGAAAACTCGTATTATTTTTCGTTCGATGTTGGTTTAGTTTATTTCAATTTATTTACGAATATTGTGCATGTGTAACAGAGATAGCGCAAGAAGCAGCAAAATGCTTCCATTTTTTTCTTCTTTTCATCCTGGATTATGTGAGTGTTGAACCGAAAAAGAAGAGAAAAAACACAACCGAAAAATGCTGCATTTTGCCTACTTGGAATAGGGCAATTTGTATTTTTTTTGTATCACATGGATATATCGATCAACGCACACACACACTTAACCACCCTGGATTTGGATTATATTTGGATTAACTGAAACATAGACAAACTCAAACATAAAATGACAACAATACATCTATTTATCATTTTGTGCGTCCAATTTATGCCGCAACCGCTTGGATTTAATATATATGCGAATTTTAGTTTTTAATTCGACGAAGTAACTCAATAATTCTATAAATCACCGTCCGGATTTCGTTGTAAAAAAGAGAGTTGAAAAAACGCGCGTTTTAATGAAATCAAATATAACCTTTGCGCTAAAATGTATTCCAATCGCGTCGAACGAATTTTTATATAAAAATCTCGTCATTGCCTCTTCGGTGATTTTTTTTTTGTAATTTTTCGAACGGGTCGCGCGCGCATCACTTCATCTCGCATTCGAATTTGTATATGTGTATATGTTGTTGTCTCGTAACGTATCGTGTCGTGTCATTCGCATAATAAAGTTTTTTTTTCATTCTGTCCTATTTGTTATTTGGTTCGTTCAATATATATATAATTTTTTTTTCGTTTCGTCTTACGTTTGTTCGATTTTCTCTGAAACGTTTGTAATTGTATCATCTATATAAGTTTGATGAACAAAAAAAAGTATATCTCATCATTTAAATGTGTTTAATAACAATGCCAGAACAGAGGGAATAAAATAAAATTGCATGTGAATGTACCAGCACCCTCGAAATCGACCGCATCGAACACGATTGTAATTGAAATAATTCGATAAACAGAGAGAAAAGAAAAAGAAAGAATGAAAAAAAATTATATAGTACGACTAAATGTTACATAATCCATGTGAGAGCGCCTGTACTTTCTACATCTCATCTCATCGTTTGTTCTAAAAGGATACTGTATAAATAAATTGTCGTCGTTGTGCTCCCGATGATTATATGTGTGTGTCTGAATGTTTATTCATGTTTTGTGATGATGAACTATTGGCCATCGCTTGCGCGACTAACTGACAGGGAGTGCAAAGAGTGTGAGTGAGTTGAGAAAAAAAGAGATAGCAAAGAATAAATCCGCTGAAATTCATACCAAAATTTCAGTGTGAACCCTTTTTATTATCTCTTGCTTGTCATATCGCTCATTCTTTCGACTCTCTTTCTACCTGTGATATACAGCAGCATCGATTTGCTGAAATGATATTGAATTGATGAAACCAGTTAAATACCAGTGATTTTAAGTTGGAATTTTGCAGTGCATCAAACCAAAATCTCGACTAAACCCGATAAATTTGTATCTATTTTCTTTTTTTTATTTTTGTAGCTCAAGTTGTGGCTTCGATGGAGTCAAATGATAACCGCATCGCAGTGCAAAACATATAAAAGTTGAATGATGAAATTATGATAAAATGAAAGAAGCATGAAAAATCAAAAGAAATGAGGAAGTGCTCACTGTTCGATATGAAAAAAGTAATTTATATATAGAAACAATACACAAGGATACATGTAATACTCTCTATCTCAATATGTATCGAATGTAAATGAAATGGGAAAAAAAGAAGAAGCAATAGATTGAATACAGTGCAAATAAAATGAAAAAGGATGAGAAGTGATTTGTAAAAAAAAGAGTGAGAGCGAACGTAAGGTAACCGCGTGAGATCGAAAAGATAAAACAAAAAATAATTTTAAAGTAAATCGTGTGAGGGACGGAAAAGCGGGCAGTGAGTGTACAGTTCGAAGGTTTGAATTCCTTTTTTTCTTTTGTCGCTCTGTATTTACTTGTTTTGAATCGTTTTTGAATGGGGTCTTTTGTCCTTTTCAACCAAAACGAACGTCTAACACCAACGACCACACCACGAATTCATTCAATACCAGTGAATGTGTGCGTGTGAGCGAGAAAGAAATAGTAAAAAAAATTATTAAGGTGTGGTGAAGTAATTTACAGTAGCTAGTGCGAACCTATGCGTATCAATAAGATACCTATATACAGCAGCCAAAAGGGATACACACCAGCACCATAACACACAGGATAAAATTGGATTCTCACCGTATTGGTACAGTGAAAAGATAGTATTTGCTCGATACAGTGAACCAATATTAAATGTGTGATTCAAATTGATTCAAAAAAAGCAAGAGAGAAAGAGAGCGAAGAAAGAAGCAAATTAAAATGAATGTATATTGAAAAAAAAGAGAAGAATCGAGAGACATCGATGTAACCATTGAATGTTTTTCTCATTTTATGTTCACGTAACTGTCTATATATTACTGTGTGTGACAACTGCTTCTCCGCTCTTGTGAATTATTATTATATAGATAACATTTTGGAAGAAAAAAAGAAAGAAAAAAGAAATAAGTGCTGCCGAACTGTCAGAATTGAATTAAAATTCTGAAAATAGAAATTATTCTAGTGCACACATATTAGCTGTTTCCATGTGAATGTTTTAACGTGTAATAGTCGAGTGTTCGTGTTCGAATCTGCGCGCGTGAGAACGAGAGAAAAATTATATATTTATAATATTTAGTAATTGCCAGCCGAAACAAAAGGAATATATACGCAATTTTATTTTTATTGTTGTTGTTTTGTTTACCATCAAAGTCCGTGTCTCGCGCATTATTCAAAACCGTAATTTTTCGATAACAGAAACTATATTACTACACAATAATAACAAAGTAAATACACATACAAAAAAGAATAAAAAAAAAATGTTTTGGCAAAAAGTGTGAGTTGTTTACACGGAATAAACAAACAGTGAAATCATCGCCTCCATGAAGGATTCAACGCAAAATGGTACGCGAGACTCGACACCTATGGGTTGGAAATTTGCCCGAAACAGTACGAGAGGATAGAATACGAGAGCATTTTAAAAGGTAAATTAAATTTCATTCCCACATTTTCCCGCTCCGGGTCGATGTCATTCGACAATTCGCTTTTAATATTATCCTTTTCGATTTGCAATACCTTTGTAAGAATCGAGAGCTCGTAATTCAAATGTATTAAAGAGATATGAAAAAAGTGAAAAGGGTAGAAATGCCACGACCTAAGACCACAATTTAAATAAGAACGCATCTGTTCAAATTCAATTTGTGTGCAATCATTTCAAATAAAATTCTTTTCCATCGATGAAGTTCAGGTAAAGAAATTTGGTAGTCCCAATCGTTATACTTCTCTGGCGTTGTTCTATTTTTTTCTCATCTTTTTTTTTTGTTATTGTTGTTGTCGCACATTGCCGTATCGCTGACATTACCCTTTTCACTTAATTTACTGAAACTATTGTAATAAAACTGAGTTTACAGATTCAGGCCACCAAACGCACACTTATATATACCATATCACATTAATCGAAATAAACGAAATCAGTTCGATTTAAAGTAGATCTATTCAGTTGTCATTTTGATGCAATGAGATCATTTAATCGGATCTCCTCGATTACATCGTTTGATATGCATATATGTGTATCAAGTTGACCCCAGTTGGGAGGCCGTTTTACATAATCGGAAAATCTGTTTTTGATTTAACATAAACATGCATTTATATTTATATAGATATAGATATTTAACGTATTTTACAAATGTCAGCTGTGTCTCAAAACCTCGAACATCTGAATTCTCAATGAATCGACTCTATACATAGGAAAAAAACACAACAATCTCAAGAGAGAGAAAGAGAAAAAAGACATTTATATCACATCGTAAAGTATGAAAGGTGTCAAACGAGGGAAAAAAAACGATGAGCGCGGAACTAAAATCGTATATTTTGAAGCCATTAATGTACGTTGTCAGTCGTTGTCGTCGTCGCATGACGGTCATTTTGGTTCATAAAATTCTTCTTATTTTTTAATGCGTGTATGCCGAAGCATTTTTAAATATTTCGCGCTATTATTAAATTATTACCAAATGGCACCCAAACAACCAAACCAAATAAATATGTATCTAATTATAGCGAATCGACTAAATTCGTTGAACACAACAAAAACATATAGATAACTCAAAATATCAAAATAAATAAATGGCATTTGTTGTTTTCTACTTCTTCTGTTCACATATTGTGTCCTGTGCGTGAGTTTTTTCATCGCATGCTTTGTCAATTATGTGTATAAAAATCATATATGAAATGTAAAATTATACATAATTTTGGCTAGAACTTTGATCATGATGGATAATTTTCGATATTTCAAAGACACTCTCAGGCCAAAATCAATCGATACAATTTGATAAATTACAAATAGATTGATATTTCTGTTTCTGTTTTCATAAGCGATTTACGACATGGTTCTGTTTTTCACTGTGTTCAATGTAAATGTTTTGTTTCCGACCGAAATTCCATGGTGAAAAAGAGCGCTGGCGCACATATAGCACAAAAATGTTCTCGCTCTCGCTGCATACCTATTGTAATTGAATGTTATTCAATCGACTAAAAAAAAGTGTATATAAATAAAACGCATAAAATATCCATTGTCAAAACAGTAGCGCGAGAAAGAGAGAAAAAAACGAAACGGCAACTGTTTATGTAATAGTCACTTGTATTCAATTTTATGATATTAATTTCTTATCCGTTTTCATATTGTATTATGGCCATTAATTATGTTTTTCAATTAAAAATATTTTCAATTAAATCGCCAATTTTGTGTGCGATGATTTTTGTCGATGGCATTTTTGTGCTTTTTTTTTTGTTTGCCCTATTCATCTAGAGCAAAAATCCACACAGCACAATTATCCATGTGCAAAATTTAAAAGCAAAAATACGAATGAAACAAAATTGACGAAAAACCAAGCCACCACACATATTTACACATTTAACAAACATATATAGAAGAGGAACACGCAGAGAAAGAAGCCAGCAACTCATTTTACTCCTAGGTTTCATTTCATTTTATACTTTGCACACGTTTGTTAATGATAAATGAGCTCGTTGCGCGTCGAAAAAGGATGCACAGAATAAAGCAAGTAGCGTAAAAGAAACGGAAAGAAAAGTAAAATAAAAATACAGCAGCAACAACAACAAACAAAAGACGAAAAAAGACTCAACACACGAAACGAAGATGAATTCGACGAAAGAGTGAAAAGGATGGCTTCACTTGGCACATAAGTGCGAACGAAATGAAGGATACACTCAAAATAAAAGAATACAAAATATGTATGAATATACATGAAATACGATGTATTGTGTGTGTGTGTGTTTGTTTTTTTTCTCGTCCGTATTTATAGGTATTGAAATATACGTGGTTCGGTGTGTATTGAGAGCTCGCATTGCTCATGTGAACGAAAGAGAGATAGAGTCGTGAGTATGTATGAAATGCACAATACACACAGGGACCACAGTAGAAAATTGAACGCTGAACCAGCAAAGCGACGAAGCCAGGCAGGCACAAATCATATATATACATTGTGTGTATAATAGCGACAACAACGGCACCCAAATTCATTCGAAATATGGCAACGTCGCTTATTTTCATTCCATACTTACACAGCATATTATGTTTTAAATCCATGACAAACCATCACTTCACTTCGCTTCATCAAAATAAAAGTGTACATTAGCAACAACGCAGCAGCAGCAGCAGCAACGACGAAGGCAACGACGACGGCAACAATGACAACAACAAAAACAAATGTACGCAGAGCTAAAGCAAACTAAAGCCCAGAGCGATCAGAGCTCACTATAACATATACACGACAATGAATGAGTGAAGAGAAATAGAAGGAATGAAAATGCTTCCATTTTAAATATGTGAGCAGAGCACGTCAGTATAATCCATTTTATACGCATATTTTTTTCTCATACCAGCCGATTGTATATGCTGCGTCCCTTTCCAATCAACATTGTTCGTTTCATGTAAACGCGTTTCATATCGTTGTTTTCGTCGTCGTCGTCGTGGTTGTCGTTGATGTTATTATTTTTGTTGCTGTTGCCGATGTCGTTGTCGATGACGATATGACAACGGCAATTTTGAGTTTTTAGTTTTGGAAATACTTGAAGCACACACACGCAAACACACATGTATGTACGACGACTGGTACCGAGCAATTTTTTTTAAGCAAAAATATCTCGTTTACACAGTCTATCTCGTTTGTGTGCATTTTTCCGATGACTGTTTTTTTGCAGCATATATTTGTTATGCGCTCTGAAAAAAAAGAACATGACAAATAATAGAGCAAACGACAATGGAAACGTATAGAAAAAATATCATACACAAAACTCAAAGACAACAACATCTAAACCGTAGACGAAAATTAAAAAAAAAATGAAACAAGACATATCTACTTTGTAGTTCTCCTTTTCATTTACACTATCTAGTTAAAAAAAACCAAAGTTATAACAACACCAACCAAATGTCTACATGGATTTCGTGTTTGTCGTCTCGGTTTTCTCGATGAAATTTTCTACTTGTTTATCATGTCAAACATTGTATAGCGTTGAACTGAATTTGTCGGTGTTCGTTCGACAATTTTTGCCATTCAATTGCATTACATTTTCAATTGGTTTCATTTCTCATGCAACTTTTTTTTCGTCATTGACATGTAGCCAAATGTTCGGTGTGTAAGCCATTGAAATATGGTTGAGTCAGTGTATAAGCGTTGAATATAATCAAAAAAAAGGTTGATTTTTTATTTTTCGCCATTGTTGTCGATATCAAATTCTAATCCATGCCATGTATACATTGAATGAAAAATGTGGATTAGTCACTTATCGCTCATGGCTTATGATAGAATAATCGGGATTTCTTGTCGTATACACAATTCCGTGTAGGTTCAAATCGGTATAGGCTGCTGCTGCCATCCACAAAAAAACATACACGAATTCATGTGGACCATTGCGGATTTATTGCTTCTTTTCGGTGCAGTGAATTTGTAAATGAGATGTCGAATGCGCAATCTAAACAGCATCCCAAAAATGAAAAAAAGAATGAATAAATGTGTCCAGAGAGAAGAAAAAACCGCTCTGTAGACACTATAGTTCACAATCTACATTTTTGTGTGAAATGATGGTGCACCAATACGGCTCTGTTTGTTGTGCTGCTCATGTCAGCTTATATAGATTTTAGAGCGATTTCTCGTGGCTGCTGCTGCTACGAAGCAGCAGAAAATCGTGGACGAGCGCGCGCACCACAAACGTGTTAAAACACACCACGGCTACGAGTTCATGTATTTTCTCTCTATGTCGATTTGTTGTTGCCGTTGTTTTCGAGGTGTAGTTCGCTCTGCTTTTTTTTGTCGTTTTCTTAACATTATATGTATCTCTTTTTTTTCTGTTCACTGCTCTCGAATCAATTGCCACTCACTCGCAACACATCGATTTAATAGAGGAGATATAGCAATGAAATAAAAAAACGCGATTAAAAGATTGCGTTAGTTTTGGCTGCTGCATGAATTTACTTGGTTGGCAAAAAACCAAACCGAAAAATCCGCTTCGTTCAATTTTTGTTAACGATTCGACATCATCGCGAAAGAGAGATAAAAAGAGATCCAATTCTGACTCTTTTTCTTCTTTTTTATTCGCATTGTACTTGTCTTAGTTGCGCCCATTGCACTTTAAACAACACGCTCTTCGCATTTATATGCACTCACAATTGCATTTTCTAATATTGATATTATGTATTACCTACGCATTGTTGTTTGGCTGGTTGAATGCATTTACATTTAGTTTTTCTACTTCACTCGGTTTTTCTTGGCGCATTCCGCTGCCATTTATGCTGTGTGTGAATACACGTCATTGTAAGTACCTTCTCTACCAGCCATACTACACACAACTCTCTATGTACAGGAGACAGCCGAAGGAAAAACTTCTCTTTTTTCGTCTTTTCATAAGAAAGAAAAGATATATATATATATATAAAATGCATCGAAGACAGTGAGCGTATCGTAAACGA